GTAAATGTTGCTATCATTTCACTGTATTTTACCTTGGTGCAAGCATTAACTGTTATGATGAAAGCAGCTTTCCTAATAATCATCATGTTTTTGCAATATTGAATAGCATTTTATTCCACCTAATTTTGACTGATCAAATATTTAATGTATAAATAATTCAGACATTAATGCTTTTTGAATAATATAAAAGCTAACATTGTTTCTATTAACAAAAAAATTCCCAATAACAATTTTGCAATAGTATTGAAGCTGTCACATTCCCTTTCTATTTTCTTAAGATTATGCATTTAGCTAAACTCAGAAGACTTTGGCATACATACTCTACGTAGATCATATAAGAATTACAATTGTTAGATGCAGAGTCTACTTTTTTTTTTAGGGTTTCTGAATGGAGGTGCTCTTGTCATTTCATTTTTTATAGAACAGGGGTGTCAAACTGCCGGCCCATGGGCTGGTTGCATCATATGCAGGCTGCGCCTACCCCAACTCCGATGCAAAAAAAGACGCGATACGTCGAGACATGTCACGTGACGTGGCGAGTTTGACATCATGTTATAGAATAATATATGGGATTTCATCCCCACCCCCAAGATAAGGACAACACCTCACATCTAGGGTTTCCCGGTTACTTAAGACTTGGCTTAGGTCTCAGGCTTGGATTGATGTGTTTATGGGGCCCCTGCTTGATTGTTTTAGGCTGGGCTACCAAGGATTGCATATTGTTCATAGTTTTTATAGTTTGTATTTGTAGCTGTCTCCCTTAGCTACTACAGAAACCAGCTCTCTCTTGTTTTCTGGTGGCTTCAAGGAGTTTTCTTGGAAATAATACAGGTAGTCCTTGACTTAACAACAGTTTGTTTAGTAATTGTGATCACAAGTACTGTATGCAGGTGAGCTGCTGTTGCTTGTTTCTGGCTTCTAGCTTTCAGCCTTAGAATTTTCTGGCAGTTTCTCATCCAAGTACTAACTGATCTTGGTTAACTTTTTTCAAGATCATCAAAAAGCTGCCATCTACCATAAGCAACTGTGCACTGTATTCTAAAAATCTAAACTCCAGCTTTCCACAATAAATTGCATAGAACTTTTCTATATACTGAAACATTTATCAATGCTTTCTTTTTAACATCTGGATTCTTAACAGTACATAATCAGTCCCACACAAGACAATACCTATCACTAACAAGACTTTACAACCATTAACTTCTAACTGATTATTTCAATAATACAGCCATAAAAGCCCATAAGTATTCAAGAAAACAATTTCTATGCTTAAAAAACAGCTTCTAAAGTAAAGGAAAAAAATCCACCTCAAAATTACCTCAGGTTTTTCCAGATAAATTAGTTTTTGTGGTAATACTTTCCAGTAATTTATTTTACTGGGAGTAAGCTAATACAAACATGCTCCAAAGGATGGCGCCTTTCTTTAGCATGCATAGTTTTACATACATGCATTTTTAAATTAAAATCACAAAGGTGAGGCTGCAATCCTAATTTTGGAAGCAAATTTGAGAATATGATTATTGGGGAAACAAAACATTTATTTCTAGAAAATTTCCATTCAGTGGGACTTACCCAGAAAAAAAAGACATGAAGATCTTTTCTAGATTACTTTCAGAACCTGCCAAGCTATTTATGAAATATTACAGAAATTATGGAAATTGTCCTTTAGTAGGCTCCGTTGAACACACTGAGATTTATTACCAAACTGAGATTTATTACCAAATAAACATGTATAAGCTTACATTTCTAGTCACATTTATTATAGAGTAAGCTGCATTAAACTCAACAAAACATATTCTGAAGGAAAATTTTCAGAGTTTATGGCCCACCACCATCTAAACCATAGTAAGCCAAATGCCAGAGCATGTTTCAAGAATGATCTATCATGCCGTTTACATATATATCCTTACTAGCAATACACTTCAATTACATCAGATCAGTCTACTCTATCCTATTAAACATTCTTATATTCAAACACAAGATATTTCTTTACGTATCGTTTTATGTATCATTTTATGCATATGTAGTACTGTTTAATTGGACTCATCTGAGTTTTACAGGATGTTTTCCCAGTAAATAAACAAATGTATTTAACAATTTAAAAATGATAAAGATATTAATGCTGAAGCAATTACAAACATTAATAATTTGTTGAACTGAAACAATCAGTATAAACCAAATCACCCAGTGATTGTTAGAATGCTAGATAAGTGGGATTATATCTTGTTGGAATCACTTGAGAACAAAGCAGATTGATTTGCACAACTAAGGAAAACAGCATTTCAAAATCTAATAACTATCAATTTCCTTTCTTCCTTAAGCATGATAATGGATTCTCTGGCTTTGTAATCAGGTATTTGAGAAGTATTATCATTTCTTATTCCCCAAAATTTAGCAATAAATTCAAGCCAGCCCAATTCTTATCACCCACCAATCTTGAAAGATAAAAAAAAAACCCTCAGAGACAGTTAGTGTGCCTGTAATCTGCCTAATTATCTAACTAAAATCTAACTAAAAAGTGCAACACTCCCCATTTACTGCCTGTTGCAATAAGTTTTGACACTGGGGGAGACTGCAGGCTTAACAAGAACTCTTCTGCTCAACTTATTAAAACCTGAGGCCAGTGGCACCCAAAAGAAGCTGCAAAGAAACCACCATGTTTAGATGTGGTACAAAAGATACAATTTAGTACTTGCATCACATCACCTGACACATAAATGGAAATGGCTTTGTTTGTGTCATGAGACAGTCACCATAATTTGCACCCACTCCCAGCAGCACCTGACATTTTTGGCATATACTCAGCACTGAGTCAATCCTCTCCTAATCATTTCAGATCATGAGACAAATGTCTACAAAGCACAGAAAGCTGAACTGAAAACTATACAGCATTTCAAATGTTGGAGACTGCAACTGTGACTCTGCTTGTACTATTATATCTGCTACGAACATATAGCAGTACAAGAGTTTTGGAGTACAGGTGGTCCTTACAACTATTCATTTAGCGACTGTTAAAATTACAAATGTACTGAAAAAAGTGACTTACAACCGGTCTTCACGCTTACAAACATTGCAGTATCCCCATGGTCACATGATCAAAAATCATTTACTACACAACGGGTGTGTATTTATAATGGTTGCAGCATTTGGGGATCATATGATCATATTCGCCACCAACTTCCAACAAAATCAATGCAGGAAGCTGGTTTTGCTTAATGATCATATGATTTGCTTAACAACTGACGGTTCTCTTAACAATCTTGGCAAAACTGGGCACAACTCACTTAACAACCCTGTTACTTAGCAATAGAAATTTTGGTTCCAACTGTGGTGGTAAGTCGAGGATTTTTTATTTTAAAAGAAAGATGAGTAAGAACTGAAGTTGCCAGTGTCTCAGGAGGCAAAGATGCCTCTGCACCTCTCAGAACCAGATAGTTCACTACATTTTCTTAATATTTGTTTGCCGTTCGTTACTGGCAATAAAAGTGTTATGGATTAGAAAACTGAAGCACTGGTAATCCTCAACTTAAAATGTAGCCCAAGATTTCTGTTGCTTAACGAAACAGTTAAGTGAGTTTTGCTTCATTTTGCAACCTTTCTTGGCACATTTAAGTAAATCACTGCATTGTTAAGTTAGTAAAGGGAACCTGGCTTCCCCACTGACTTTGTCAAAAGGTCACAAAAAGTGATCACATGACACCGGGACACTGCAACGGTCATAAAGGAGCCAATAGCCAAGCATCTGAATTTTCATCATGTGACCATGGGGACATTGTGGCTTCAAACAGTCTCTAAACAAAAAGCTTGTAAATCAAGGACTATCTGTTATTTTATATTTCACCTACTTATTGGAACTGATACAATACATTCTGGAAAAGTGTGGATATATCTAAATTCAGTTTGTGAAAAATAAAATCCTGAAGTGGTTCTTCTTCCCAAAACATCTTCTAGAGAGGAGAAAGAATCTGCTATCCCCATATGAAATTCATATCAAATTTTGTAAACATTTTTATTTGGATGGTTTTGTTTAATATCTTTATGCTGTGTTGATAGATGAGTTTCCCAAATGCCTCTCTGATGCAGATGTTTTAAAAATTAAAAGGAAAGCAAGAACAATGTTGTTTGCATTGATAGACTACCTTTTTTTTTCTCTTTCATTTATATTTTTTGCTCTAGAGATTAAGCATGAATGATAAAGTTAGCTCATTTTATCAGCATAACAGACCAGAGATAAATCAGGATTATGATTAGCCCAAGGTTATGATTTAAAATCCATTTTATATAAAATCCAGTTTTCTTTACAATTGATAGTGTATCAATATTTATATATATATATATATATATATATATATATAAACCAAGATTCAAAAGTGTAGCGTTTGGCACACTTTATCTTATTTCTATCCTTCTCTTCTATTCAGTTCAAAAACTATGGAACGTAACAGTAAATAAATTCCACAAGAACAGAACAGAAAATCTTCACTTGTTGGGCTTCTGTGTGTTGTGAACTCCAATTCTGTTTGGGGAAGGAACAATGTTACGGGACCAACTTTTTCTTCCTTTTAAAAAAAAAACGAATTCAGTGAGAGATACTAAGGAATCTTCTTAAGGAAAACCTGCCTTTTACTTTGTTCTGCAAGAAAGCAGATGAAGCGCTTCACATGTATTCAGCCGTACTTGTTTAGTCGGATTCACGTGTCCCCGGTATTGAGCCTTTAACTGGCCAATCCGGAAGACCGAGGGAAGCAGAATACACCCAAAGCTACGCGAAGCGACGTTTCTTCCGTTTTATCGCCCCCCCTCCCCCCACGATTTCTAAGCGCTACCGAACGAATTCTCAATTTTCTTTTCCCCCTCCCCATTTCCCTCCCAGTCCAAGAGAAAGAACACTTGATTGGCCAAGACAGGAAACCTTCTGAGGGTCTGATTGGTTGGAAACTTTATTTCTCTCCCTCGCCGTATTGTACTCTTCTGCCTGCTGAATTCAAATCGCTCCTGGGATGGGAGGGAAAAAGTTGAAGGAACGGCGCGCGGTTTGGTCTGAATAGTGGTAACTATGCCTTTAAAGCTTTCGCATCTGGGTGCAAGGCAAATGCAGAAAGCGGAGGGGAGCAAATACAGTATAGGACTGGGGCGTATTAGATACAATAACCCTGGTGGCGCCAAATGTTTAAACGGAGCGGCGAGATGCCTCCGCCCTTCTCTCAAGAGCCAATTGGAAGCAAGATGGCGAAGAATGGGGAGGAGCCCAATCCGAATGATGGAGCGCGGGGAGAATTCTCAAGTTGGAAGCGAAGGAGGAAGTTTGGCGGTGGGTGTTGAGGGCTGCTCGTCCGAAGTAGGTGAGTGGACTTCAGGGAAGGGGACGGTACTGCAGCAGAAGATTGCTGGGCATGGCTGGTATCGAAGTCGCCTCGGCCAGATGGGCGCCGTAGAAGTTTGATAAAATAAAATTAAAAACCGTTCTTGGAAACCTGGAGAAGTTGGGTTTATTCGAGCAACGTAGAAAGCAGCGAGAACAGAATTTGTGATCTTTTTTTTTAAAAAAAAAATCTTTGTTAAATTTGAAAAAGAAACATTAAAATTTAGCCAAACATATAAAGGGAAGGGAGCAACAGGAGATCTTTAAAAGTGACCAAAAAAACCTCGGTATCTGTTAGAGGCACATTTGAAGGACTTGTTTTAACTACTGCACTGGACTGTCTGATTTTTGTTACTGTAGTCTCGACCAACGTGCCTAGGTAGGAATTATAAAATCAAGCGCAACCACAAACGTATCTCAGTCTGACACTCCTCGTCCTTGAGTGTCATGAACATGAATGTAAAGCTGCACTGTGCCAGATGTAGCATCGCGCTGGAAATGTTTGTGTTATTATAAGCCCTGTAGTCTTTATTGTAATGTTAAGCTACTTGTTATACAACAGACTCAAGGCAACTTTGAAAACAGACCCTTGTAAAATTTATCTCAAAAGGCAATATAACGTCTATCTATTTAAATTTAGTTCCTCCTACGCTACACTTACAATCCTGTTTTGTACTTCTGTACTTCTATCCATTAGCTCACATCTTCTGTGAAACATGGAAAAATGATAAATACTGCTCAAAAGACAAAGTGGCCAAACACTGCTCTTTGAGAATGTTGCATTTTCTTCTAGAAAATCATTGCTTTTATTTAGTTCCCAACTACACCCTCACACTAATACTTTTCAGTGGAAGCAACATTATGCAAAGCATAGAAAATCTTCTGTACTATGAATGTCATAGATAAACCCCATAAATACTAACATCTACCTTCCATTATGACAATGGTAAAATAAGTTTTTTACACAATGCTTTTCAGTAAGCCTGAGAAGGATAGTCCAAGATACTGCTAAGAGTCACTTTGTGTGAGATGGGCAACAATAAAAAGAAATATCAGAAAGAGATGCCAGCCTTTATTATGCCGATAACATAAAACATTCTAAAGTAGCAGTAAGTACAGTACTGGTCTAAAAAAGTTGATATCCTTAGTGAATTTAAATCCAGATTTCTCTCCAATTCTAATTTCTTCATTAAAAGTTCATGTGTTAACTAATTTATTTCTTCTTTTTTTTTCAGAATGCTAAAAATGGTATCCCAGCATATAAACCAACATAATGTGTAATTAAACAAATGTATATAAAGCTGAAGCTAATAGTGACAATATGAATAAAGAGAACAAGGTAATTTATCTAAGCCCTTTCAAACTATCTTTTGTCATCTCTTATATCTTATATTCAAATTATAGACAAATGTTGTTTGCAAATTGCAGTAGTAAGAATACTGAAGCAACTCCAGGGTCGTTAATTGTTATGTTTTAGATATCCTGTGTTTTGATTGAGCAATATGGCTATATGTCACTCTTGACATAAAAGAAGGAGATAAGAAAATGGTTTACTAGGGTCAAACATTTTTCCTTGCCTATCTGATGTTGTCCTCTTATGTCTTTTTTTTTTGTCCATGGCTATTTTAAGATAATTTTACAGCAATTGTGTACACTGTCAAGTATAATATACTTCAAAGTTGCAGTACTGTCAGTTTCTCTTATGAAAAAAGGAAGTTACACTCTATATGTGCACAGAAATCAAGGCAGAGAGTTTTTTATAGGCATTGAGAAACTGTACCTCTCCCCTCAAGTCATGCCTGGTTGTCTCATCCCAGGAGGTGTTTCTGAGAGAAATGTGCAAAGAATGACAGATATAAATGCCAAGAATATATAATCCCAGCAGGGTCACTCAATGCGTGAAGGTCACACAGCTGTCCAGCTAAAGCAAGTAGGCATCTGTATTAAGTGGCAGCAAAGCTGGTTGTTTGGATGAGATGGTGGGCTTCAGGTGCCTCTTAATGCTTGTTGTCTGGCTGGATCTCAGAAGTGTGCCTTCTCCATTGCTGCCTAGGCCATTTGGAATAGCCACTGTGATCCTCAGAGTCTCTATCTTTTTAGCCTTTCAGAAAGTAATTAAGACCAGGCTTTTCCCCCCTCCCTCAAACTATTGCAGTAGTTTGGGATGGGTCAACATACACAGAGTTGATGGGATGTTAGAAAAACATCCTTTGTAAGAGTAATTTTGCTGTGTAGTGAGTTTTGTTGTGAGCTGCCTAGGATTATTGTATATAACATAGCAATACACTTAGACTTATATAGCACTTTACAGCCCTCTCTAAGCAGTTTTACAGAGTCAGCATATTGCCCCCAACAATCTGAGCCTTCATTTTACTGACCTCAGAAAGATGGAAGTCTGAGTCAACCTTGAGCTGGTGAGAATCGAACTGCTGGCAACTGGCAGTCAGCAGAAATAGCCTGCAGTACTGCATTTTAACCACTACGCCACCATGGCTCTTATAGACACCTACATAAGTTGTCTAAATTAATATAGAAATAAAACATTCCTGTATTTTACCAAGTAAGGTACTTTAATAGAAAAAAATATATTAACAAGATAGTGCTGAATGACAGGCCCCTTGAATTAGGTGGCATTCAATCTGTGAGTGAGAAACGCTGAGAATCTTTTAGAGTACTAATGTGTTCATGACGTATCTATATATCTATTTCCAGAGAGAGAAAGAGAGAGAGAGAGAGAGAGAAAGTTTTTTCCGGACAGACCGGTCTACTTGATGCACCTTAGTATTTTGACTGCTATACTGCAGTTCTACTTATAATCAGTTTTGATTATAATCAACTGCCTAGTATATAGGCTGGCCAGGTTTGAATCCCATAGAGGGTATGGCTAGCTAATGAGGGCAAAATAAGCTCAAAATAGCTATTCTAGTCTCCCTTTTAACTCTAACTCTTTGTCAACAAAAAAGAAATATATATAATTTCTTTTTTGTTGACAAAGTTAAAAAGTTAAATGGGAGACTAGAATAGCTATTTTGAGCTTATTTTGCTCTCATCAGCTAGCCATACCCTCTATGGGATTCAAACAATATATATCACATATATTATGTGATATATATATTTGTATTCATTTTCTATACCATAGAACTCAATATTGTTTGACTGAAATATTTAATAAATATAGTAACTATGCTACAATATTCTTTGCAATGTTTGTAATTAGGAAAAGAGTGACATCAGTAATTTCTGCATTAATTTAATTTAAGTCTTTCAAAGAGTTACACTGAAGTATAATATTGTCTAGCCAATTAAACTGAATGATGTTAGATATTCCAAATTGGTCCCATGCTTCTAACAAACACTGTGTTACTATTCAGACAAAGGATGGATATAGAAACACCATGTCCTTTTGTAACAGTTTATATAATTGCATTATGTATCAGTACACTAATTCATTATCATTCTAAAAAATATAAAACATTACATTTTCTACAGGAGTACCCTGTAATCTATTTTGCATTTCCCTATAGAACACTGGCTGCATTCACATATAACATCAATCCAGGAATGTTTAGGATAGGGAATGCAGTGAAAACCTAGGTCCCATTGGGACTATTTGTATATTACTTTAAGCCAAAAAAAAGCCTAATTAAAAAATATCTTTGATTCTTGTATCATCTTTGGGCATTTTTTGTTCTGATAAATGCTCAGAGTGACAAGAAAATAGACTAGGTATTTTAAATAAAAATGAGCTCTGTAAAATCCATCAGAAATAAGTATCAGTTTTGGCCAAAAATACAGTAAGGTTAATTTTGGCAACAAGGGTGTTTTTAAATATTACGATCAGGCTTTGAATCAACATTTTAATGCTCAGTATTGTTCTATTTTTGAGACACATTTTTTTCTTTCTTGGCTCAGGAAAATCAATGTTTTGAAATGCGTGAAAGCCCAGTCAAAACACCTCTAAAACAAAAGGCTGCCCCCAATTTGCTTTTGGCAGAGATCCAGCCTGCTGCTTCTGACTATCTGACCACACCACCAAAGCCCAATGAAAGTACTTCTGGTGATCCATGGACCCCAACAGCTAACCTTAGAATGCTGATTAGTGCAGCTAGTCCTGAAATTAGAAATCGAGAACAGGAAAAAAAATGGTCCGATAATAAAAGTGAAGGCCTTGAGGTAAAACATTTTTTTTGTTTCATTTTGTCATACTTGTAGTAGTAGTAGTTGTAGTAGTAGTAGTAGTAGTAGTAGTAGTAGTAGTTGCTTCAACAGTGAGATGAGCGGCATACAAATGAAATAAATATGCTTGTTATACATGTAAAAACAAGACTAAATTATATATGTATTTGGAACGTACATTGCTTGACATTGTATTAATCAATTCTCCCGTGTTAGAGCTTTTTTTCCCCCCTTTCTCTCTGCAGCATCATTTGTCAGGAGAAGAATATGAAAAGTCTCAACCAAGCCGTAAAGAGAAAAGCCTTGGATTGCTATGTCATAAATTCTTAGCTCGCTATTCCAGTTACCCCAATTTTTCTAAAAACAATGAAATATGTCTTGATCAGGTAGCAGAAGATCTAAGTAAGTCTGAGCATTGTGTCATCTTTTATTTTTTTCTGGGCAAATCTTATGCCTACTAAAAGGTGCATATGAATGTGCAAAATATATTAGTTCAAGAATAAAAAGTTCTACTCCTCTTCATGTTTCCAGAATCTCTCTCCAACCATGCTGTTCTGGAATAGGTTACAGTTTTTGAACATAAATCCTCCGAATTGGCAGCAATTAGAGTAGTCCTAAACAAGGTTATTTTGTTCATAGCATCATACTGTATCTGGAGTATTTGGAATGTAATTCCAAATATCTATTTTTTATTCTTTATATTTATTTCAAATGGTAATAATATTACTGTGTTTTGTATTATTTGTTTGTTTGTTCATTTTCTGTAGCAGCTCATCTCGGTCAGTGACTGGAAGGCTTACAGTTCATAAAATACATTATAATTAATTAAAAAAACATTTTAAACCAGTAAAAGCAGTAAAAAAACATTAAAAATATCCAATTCAAGATACACAAGAGCAAGGTATTTGGCCTGTTAGCAATATAGCCAGGCCTTTGGCATATTCAGCGCCCCAAGCTCGGGAACAGAGCCAGGTTATACATTATACATGCTTAGTGCTAGAAGTACATTGCTTGTTTTAATTAAAATATAAATCTCTAAAATATATATCCCTAAAGAATTATCACTTGCTAAATGCAGAGTTGTGAAAATATAATTGGCTTTTCAAACCACAAAACAGCTAGATGTTTTGTTCTCCGATATCTTAAAATTCAATAATCATTTTTCCCCTTTCAGTTTGTTTTCTTATGCATATTGAAAAAGCCCAAAATACAAGAGTTTTGGAAACCAGTGTATATCAATAAATTTTGTAAAAACCACATAACTAGGAAGTATCAAACTAAACACATTAAAAAAATCTTCCTAGAAAATCTAGAACAGGGGCCTCAAATTCCTCAGCTCATTGACTCTTTTGTGAAGTTTCAAATTATTCCTTAACCCCCAAATATTTGTTATAGGAGAATAATTTAATAAATACTATTTTAACAAATAGCACTATGAAAAATAATAAAATAGAGAAAACTCGAGGCTACCCGCGCTGGAGGCTGTCAATCCTCCCAAGTAAACAGATAGGAAACACAACCAGATGAATTAATTCTATTTTATTATAAAGCTACACTAACAGATTCTTTCAAGTCTCAAAGTACAAACTTTCCACCACCACTTTTAACCACCTGATTAATTAGAGCAGGGCCTACCTAAATTTCTTTCTCTGACCATTAATCCATTGGGGGCCTCTCCCTCTCTTATTTGGTTTCCTAGACAGCATCTTATCCCTTGAGGTCATCTATACAGTCGATTACAGCAGCTGATCATCCAACCCTGGGTAACACTGTTTTACCACTAGCCCTCTTCAGGACTAGGGACTAGCACGGACCTGTACAGAGACTCTAAAAGATTATTTGACCCCTATCGATCTTCCATTATTTATCAACCACCTATTAACCCACCCACCCCTAGACAGATTCCCTTTTGACCGCTAACTATCAACCCCTTAGATAATTGGGGATAATATTTGCTGGTTTGAGGAACTCTGATTTTTTTGGGGGGGGGATTACAGAGATGTCTTTAAAAGCATATTATTTTATAGCCCAATTTATCAGCCCCAACCCCATCTGGGTGGTTTTAAAGAGACTTAAGTTTATATTAACGGAACAAGATAAAAGCTACAGGGAGCCAATAAAACACTATTCATGTATTCTAGCAGTCAAGGAAAAACCGTTTTCAGGCTTCAATAATCAATGTATAAAGATCAATTTTTTTGAAAATAAAGTCTAGCACATATATAGTTGGCAGTAGGACCAATGCCTAAATACTTTCCTATTCTGGAATAATATCTGATTAGCACTTCTAGTTATTATAATGTATCACCTCCTTTGCTTCCTCAAAAATAACTTACATTCAAATTGTGTTGTTAAAATTTATGGTTATATTTTATATAACCTTTTTACGGCCCTGTAATCCCTTGATTCGGGGGGACTGTCGGGATGATTGGGTGGAGCTGAGTGTTTACTGGCTGGATGCCAGTTCATAGGGGATAGTTTTTCTCTGCACTCTGCCGCTACCTTTGATTATATTTTTCTATAATTGACGTCCTGTCATTAATTTTGACTGTTAAAGTATTTCAATGCATGTTTTAAAAAACTGATAAGATTGAAAAAGAAACTGTAAAATAATTTGTGATGTTTCCATCATTACAGATATTGAGCGCAGGCGAATCTATGACATAATGAATGTATTAGAAAGTCTTCACATGGTGAGCCGATTTGCCAAAAACAGGTATTCCTGGCATGGGCGTCATAATCTTAAAAAAACACTGCAGGCTTTGAAAAAAGTAGCTGAGGAAAGCAAGTACTCGGAACAAATCAAACTGACTAAAAAAGGAAAAAATGGGCAAGAGGATGAAAACACTGGCCAGAATATTGAATGGATGCCAAAGCACGCTAGGTCAAATTATCATACAGATTTTGTGGAACTACCTGGGATGGAACTTCAAGCAGGTAATTCTAAGAAAGGCAGGTTTATAGATGGAGATGTCCTATGATTCCATTTGCTAAAATGCAGGAGTATAATCCATTAGTTAGATCAGTGGTTCTCAACCTGTGGGTCGGGACCCCATTTGGGGTCGAACGACCATTTCACGGGGGTCGCCAAACAACGCAGTCCGCCATTTTTTCCCCCTTTTCCTTAGCTGTGCTACTCCCTTTTATTCTAATGCAGGGGTTCTCAATCTTGGCAAATTTAAGACTTGTGGACTTCAACTCCCAGAATTCCTGGGAGTTGAAGTCCACAAGTCTTAAAGTTGCCAAGGTTGAGAACCCCTGTTCTAATGGCTTTTGAAAGCCAATAGAATAAACTCTCTTGAATAGAATCTAATTCTATTTGCTTTCAAAAGCCAATAGGAATTGTCCAGGCTGTCTCTGCCCTGCTGAGCCCGCCAAAAGTCCCATTCTGCAAATGGTGCTGCACCAGTTGAGTAGTCCTCGACTTACGACCGGTTGGGGGTCGCGGCATTAAAAAGGTTGAGAACCACTGAGTTAGATTAACTATTTTTAAAAGCGGTTTTAACACCAGTGCTTAAAAAAAATGAAGATTGAAAAACTAATCTAAAAGGCATTAACCTTCTCTTTGAGCCTTTTCTAAAATCACATCTGGAATGGTGTGTGCTATCATACCAGAATCAGCTAGGAATGGAATCGGAGATAAATATTGCAAAATCTATAAATAATCTTGCTGAAAACAAATGCAAATCTTCGTCCTTTAGTAACCACGTTTGGGCTTGTTAACCAAAGTGGTTGCTAACTGAACAGTCATCTGACCACAACTGCTTTTGATTTTACTTCAGCTTTCCTTTGCTTTAAAGCCTCAGAAGGATATGAGCCCAGCGATTGGGGAAAGTTTCCGAAACTTGACTCTTGAGGAAGCTGAGTAAAAGGGGAAATCCTATACCCTTTTTTCCTATTCCCCAGTTTTTGGAATACTCATTTTGACCTTGTGATAATTAATAAGAAAGGAATTGATATTTGTGTTTACATTCATTGGAGGAGAAGAGATTACAAGAGAGTAAGTAGGTACACAGTAGAGAAGAAACATCAAAAGGAATGCACTAACATTAGAGGTTTCCCAAGCGTGCCCGTTGTAAACAGCTTAGGGAGCAAACAAAAACTGATTAGAGTCTTGTCAATATCAGGCAGCAGTGCCAGAGAGCCTGAGGTTTCTAATCAGCTAAGTTCACAGAGCTAAGCTTGTTAACTTGTGGTTACTACTTTGTAGGGATGCACTATGCTGTGAAGAAAAGCAGCTAGGAAGAGAGAGCCTGTTTAGGCAATCTTTCCTCTCTCTGAGGGGGTCATAAAGACAGGTATTGATCACAAAGTGATTTTTTTTATCGCCATCATAAATGCAAATGATCACTATCTGAGGCAGTCTCAAAATGAGTACCTGTACATAATGTATTGATGCAAATATCAACAATTAATTGATAAACTAAAACCTATCCAGTAATTAACCAAAATCAGATCCTAGTGAAATATGCCATCTTCCAATTACTAGGTGATTTGGATTTACTTCTATATTTGGTTGTTGTCTCTTTTCTTTGTACAGCTTCAGTAAATAGTCGTAAAGACAAGTCTTTAAGAGTGATGAGCCAGAAATTTGTAATGTTGTTTCTTGTGTCATATCCCCAAGTTGTGAGCCTTGAAGTTGCTGCTAAAAGTTTGATTGGCGAAGACCATTGTGAATCACTGGATAAAAGCAAGTTTAAAAGTAAGTGGTAAAAAGTCCTATCTCGTGTGCCTGATTTAGTTTATGTGATAAAAAAAAGTTACGGTGAGCCATAACCTTATAAAAATTAACTTCCTTGCCTACCAGGAAGTTAACTGATCCCATTGCTACCTGAAAAGCTGGCCAGAATTTTGTTGCCCAATTTCAATGGCAGGGTGCTAAGGGGCTGTAGATGGATGATGGTGACATATGGATTGTGGACTGCTATGATAAACCATGGTTTTACATGAAACTGGCTGCATCCTCACAACATGCTTAGGTTAAAAAAAAACTCAAACTATATTATGAGATGTGACTACAGTCAATGTGATGAGAGTAATTGTACTGCTCAGAAAGCCTTCATCTTAAAAGTGCATCTCTCTTTGGGGTTTAAATTATCCATTATTATCTCCAAGAAATCTTTTCTTATAGACTGGATGAAACCCTAATAAAATTGTCTGGAAAATCATTTTACCGCAACCACCTGCTCCCCTCTATTCAGCTTGTTCGCCCATCATACTCTTTTTTTTCAAGCAGCAGAAATGATACTAAACCATCTCATCTTTGTGATGGGCTGCTAGGATAATTGACCAAAATCTCAGTGACAACACTCCATAGCACTTCTGACTGACTGACTGACATAACTGTTCAGGCCACCGTAACAAGCATTTGATTGGTTATTAAAGTTGCTTCCCTTAGCTTCAAAGAGGAAAGCTTTCCCACAGTACGTTTATTGCTCTGTTCTTTTTGATTCCTGGTTTTTAAAAACTTTCACTCCTCTTAACTTTCACTGAATAAAACAAAAATGTTGCATGCTGAAATGGGCCTCTGTTGCTGTAAAAGGCATCCAAATCATTGTAACATGAATTGAGAGTGATCTTTCAAAGGCCATTCCTGGGAAGAAGGTTTAGGATCCATATTTCTATAACCCGCATTGAATAATTTTAATTCTCAGTTTTAAATTAGAATAATGATTGTAATTCTGTTTCCAGATCACTGCATTAAATATTTCTCCAAAGGAAAACAAAAGCAAATGCGTTTTAAGAATACTAAATATGGGGTTTGGTAGAATGCAAAATGTTGACTGTCCACCCTGGCCTGTTTATCTGCGTTGTGTCAAAGATCCCTCAAACTGAAATATTCCTGTTGTATCTATATTTAGAACAACGTAGCAGAAAGGGGAGGAAAGAGTCTAGCGTTAACAATTTTGAATTTCTGTTTTTATATTTTTCATTAGCTTTTTAACTTATTTCAGCTAAAATTCGAAGACTATATGATATTGCTAATGTTCTCAGTAGCCTTGAGCTCATCAAGAAGGTTCATATTGTAGAAGAGAAAGGCCGCAGACCAGCATTTAAATGGATAGGACCAAATGTTTTTTCTGATATTAAAGGTAGGTGCGTTATTACTTTTGAACAAGATGTAGAGTATTTTTGAGCTACAACTAGATTTAATATTAACTTCTGCTCATTTGTGCTACTCCCAACCAGTAAAAGCCGTATCAGAGTTAACATGGTTAATTTTTCCTTGGGGTCACTATATTAACATAATATATCAGTATGTATATTCATAATTAGAGAACTAATTACTCATTTTAACATAAATATTTAGAAGTGATACCTGTCAAAACCAAGAATAGAAAAATAGTATATTAATGTTAGAATTCTCTGTAGATTGTATTATAGATACCCAGCCAAAATTGGATGCAATGCCACTTGCTGTGGAAGATAAATCTTTTAAAGAGCGTTGTTCTAAGAATCTCTTCCCTAATAATAGCAAACAATTTTTCACACGGCATCCGTCTTTGATAAAACTGGCAAAGAGTAAAGAAAATGATCTGAGAAAGAGTCATTCAGCTCCAGGCAGCCCTGTCAAAAAACATTCAGGTATGTAGGATGCAAAATGTTTCATATAGTTGTGGGGAAAAATATTAAAATAAGGAATGGTGGTATTTGTTCTTAATTTTTTACTGTGGAATACAAAATGTGTAAATGTGGTTCATAAGCAGAGGATGCTATCTCCAAGTCTGGTTTTTTTTTATTATTTTTGAGCAGTTTTTCTGACTACAGGTAGTCCTTGACTTACAACAGTTCGTTTAGTGATCATTTAACATCACTGAAAAATGTGACTTATGACCGTTTTTCATAGTTACAACCTTTACGGCATCCCCATGAACATATGATCAAAATTCAGATGCTTGGCAATTAGTTCATTTGAATAGAATAGAGCTGGAAGGGACCTTGGAGGTCTTCTAGTCCAGCCCCCTGCTCAAGCAGGAGAACTTATACCAGTGGTGGAGAACCTATGGCACGGGTGCCAGAGGTGGCACTCGGAGCCCGCTCTGTGGGCACATGTGCTGTTGCCCCAGTCCTAGGCCTTCAGCTGGGTTTTATAAAACCTTTTCGCTTTAGGTTCAATCAATCAGTCAATTTCAACTTCTCACAGGAAAAAAAAAAGATCTTGCAAAGTTGGAATTGATTGATTGAACTTTTTAGTCCCACCCAGTCTGCCGTTACCACCGCAGCCACGCCCATCCAATGGGACACACACCCCCAATTGGCCACACCCAGCCGGCACTCGACGATGCATTTGTGGGTTTTGGATTTCAGTTTGGGCACTCGGTCTCTCAAAGGTTCGCCATCACTGACCTATACCATTCCTGACAAGTGACTGTCCAGTCTCTTCTTTAAAACCTCCAGTGATGGAGCACCCACAACTTCTGAAGGCAAGCTGTTCCATCGGTTAATTGTCCTCACTGTTAGGAAGTTTCTCCTTAATTCCAGGTTGCTTCTCTCTTTGATCAGTTTCCAACCATTGTTTCTTCTCTTGCCCTCTGGTGCTTTGGTTTGACCCCGTCTTCTTTGTGGCAGCCCCTCTAATACTGGAATACTGCTATCATGTCACCCCTGTTCTTCATATGTTTTAGTCTGTAGGTCTTTGATCATCCTAGTTGTTCTTCTCTGAACTTTTTCCAAGGTATCAACATCTTTTTTGTGATAAGGTGACCAAAATTGGCTGCAGTATTCCAGTGTGTGGTCTTACTAGGGTTTTATAAAGCGGTACTAATACTTTGCATGATCTTGATTCTATGCCTCTGTTTATACAACCCAGGATTGTATTAGCTTTTTTGGCGGCTGCTGCACACTGCTGGCTCATGGTCAAGTGATCGTCCACTAGGACTCCAACTCTCGCAGTTACTGTTTTTAAGCCAGGTCTCACCCAATCTGTACTTAAACATATTCATGACCTTTGCTGTGTACCAGGGTCACGAGATCCCCTTTGCAATCTTCTGACAAGCAAAGTCAATGGGGAAGCCAGATTCACTTAACAACCAGGTTACTAACTTATCAACTGCAGTGATTCACTTAACAACAGAAATTTGGGGCTCAATTGTGATCGTAAGTCGAGGAATTCCTGTACTTGTTTTATGAGAATGAAATATATATGTATGTGTTCCACTTGGAGGTTTGGAAAAACTAGAACGTAATGGTTTAGGTAGAGAAAATAAATTGATAATAAGAAGATACATATAACATCTCTCTGTCATCTTATCTCTTCGTGGAACAAGCTGTGTCAAGGATACTAATTTAGATCATAAGAAAAGGCCATAAGCCAAACCATATAAGCACTATCAGTGATGGACTTTAGAAGGAGGTTCAGTTGGATCAAAATCTTAAATAATATGCAAATTAAATGCTTCTATTTCTTTTCTTATAAAGACTCAAATCGTTCAACTTTTCCAAGCAAGATGGCTCAACTTGCAGCAATATGCAAGCAACAATTAGATGAACAATCAAGGTATATTTCTACACAAGGCACGGTGGTTGCTAATTAATGTTGAAATTAATTAATTAAATCTGTTGAAATCAGCAGTTCATAGCTGCTGTTTATACCAGCAGTTAACATAATTATGACATAGTAATATCACCACAGCTTCTAAAATCTGAAGTCCATTGACTTTTTTACTTACTATTTACTTTGACTTACACTTCATAATGTAGTTATTGTAAATATTAAAAATATATAAATACATTATATATGTGTTTAGGGGGTGTTATTTTCCAGATAAAAAGATTTTATTGTCTTGTGCTACCTATCAGGAGAGAAAATTTGGATTAAAGACTTAACACTGAATTCATTTTTTTTAGGGAATGTGAAAAGGTAAAAAAGAAATTGGAAGACACTTCGCCTTCTGAATCTTGTCGGAGGCCCAAAGCAGTCTTGTTACCTTCTCAAACTGCAATCTTATCCCCGACCTCCAACTCAATACTTCCCCCTGTCCTTTCTACTCTGCCACCTACAGCATATCTGAATCCGTCTCAAGTACAGATAGTGACCACATATCCAAGTTACATGGTATATCCTGTTTCTGCTACTAATGTGACCAAAATTAAGACTCCTGTGGAAACTCTCACTGAAACATTTACTAAAGACAATTTTAATGATTGGAAAAAAGCTGAAGAGCTGCAACTCTGGCTAACTAAGGAACCCAGTGGAACAACAGATGATTTGATATCTGGGAAATGTTTTAAAAGATCTAACCTTCTACTAGAAGATAGTCCAATTAAAAAATATAAGAGTGAAAAGATGGAACTTCAAGATTCACTACCGGTAAGCTATCTTTAGGTGTAATTGTTCCATGTATTAAATAATTTTCTGTTGCAGAAAAACCTAACAACATTTCACAAGTCATTCTTAAATTACATAGGATACTACAGAAAGCCCAGGAGAAAGTATTTAATAAATGCAGCTGCTCTAATGCCTTTCCTTTGCATTTTTTTTTACCCATGAAAGCAGCTTTTTTTTAGTGATAAATCAACCAAAATATTATATATTTAAAATATACCAAAGCTCTCTAAAGCAGAATTCTAAATTCCTATATATTTCAGGGTAAGTCTGTTAAAGATAAAAATCACCAAGGTTCTGTAACTTCTCATGTAAATCAGGAAGTCTTAATTTCACCAGTGACTAAGCAAAATAAACATGTACACAGAGAAGTGAAACTGAGTTGTGAACAGGAAGAGCAGGGAGATACTTTTAAATAGGATCAACTCAGCAGGGCACAGAAAATGCCTCCAGGATTTGCAGCTCCTCTACCAAAGGCACGTTCCCTGTCAGACATTATATACTTATATCTTCTTCTGAAAGGCTCAGGAGTTTAATAATATTGAAAAGATTTTTTTCTTTTCATACCAAAGTAAGAAAGTAACTTCAAGATCAGTGCAGGAGAAAGCAATGATGGCAACCAAAGATACAGGCCCATTTTTGTTCTTTAGTTTTATACTGTATTACATGCAAACTATGGCTACATCTTGTTGGAAAGCTGGTTTGCTCTAGTGATTAAGGCACCAGGTTAGAAACCGGGAGACTATGAGTTCTGTAGTCCTATTACGTCTCTTACGTTTCCTCAGGATATCAAGGTCCCCAGTGACGTTGCTGTGTCCAGTAAGAAGAAAGCAGAGTTTTTTTCAGTGGAAAAGAAATCCTACAGTTCTTCCAATCTAGGTAAGTATATGTTGACCACGCCACAGGATTATTCAAAGTTAATTCATTTTGACATCTTCTATCAGCGGTTAAGGAATACAGGGATTTAATAATGAAACTAGATAAAATGACTTTATATATGAAGCTTCCAGCTGCATAGAGATTGGGTCAGCTCTAATCAATAGCTCTTAAGCCCATTGCTTCTTCATGCTTAATTGCCACCTTCTCCAAACTCACAGTAGTTGGCGGAACTAAACTGCTTTTTGCGTATTAATATAAGTTGCATGGCATAAAGTATGTTCCCTTGTAATAGTGTGTTCTCTTTCTTCTTTGCTCTAGGTCAAATTCCAGTGACATCTAATTTCCCTACTTTTCATATAACACCTCTTAACCTAATGGTACCACCACCTTCTGTAGCAACCACATCCTCAGGGAACGGTACTGTTGCGTCAGTCCAGGTTAACCCTACCCCGCCTCAGAGCACCTTAGTTCTGAACATTATGCTACAACAGTTAGGAATGATGCCAGCCAATGTACAGATGTCTACAGATCACCTACATCAATCCGCTTTCATCTGTCAAGGAGCAGAACATGTTAGTCCTGTCCCAGTAAGTGTAGGATTGCAGCAAGCGACTGTATCACAGAACGTCTTACTAAGGGATTACCAAGATTTACATGAAAAATTGGTTCCAACCACTCCTCAGGAGGTAAGATTCTTTTTAAAAATATTAAGTAATTGGGGCTCTGCAAATCCTTTCAAAGAGGCACAGAAGTGCATACTGAGCATTCCTTGAGCTTTTAACTGGCTGGTCATCTTAGAATGTGAAATACTTGCCTAAGCAAAAATATCTGATTAAAAAGTATATAAAACACATCAGAATCCTAAGAAAAGCAACAAGAGGACCATTGGAAAAACTGAAGATTGTAATAATAATAATAATAATGATGATGATGATAACAAAATACAAAAACCTACAAATAGAAATAGAAAGACTATGGCAAAAGCAAGCAAGGGTAGTACCAATAGTGATAGGCTCCTTGGGTGCAATCCCAAAACAACTGGAGCACCACTTGAACACCATTGGCATTGACAAATTTGCTATTAGTCAATTGCAAAAGGCGGCCTTATTAGGAACTGCTTCCATCCTGCGACGATACCTGTAATACCATCAAACATCCACATCTGCCTATCCCAGGTCCTGGGTAAGGACTCGATAGGTAGACAAAATGCCAAATCCAGTCTGAACATCTGGCTGACTGTGCGATGATCCATAATAATAATAATAATAATAATAATAATAATAATAATAATAATAATAAAAAGTTGGGAGGGATCTTGGAGGTCATCAAGACCAACCCCCTGCTCAGGCAGGAAACCCTATAACATTTCAGACAAATGGCTGTCCAGTCTCTTCATAAAAACTTCCTGTGTTGGAGCATTCACAACTTCTGGAGGCAGGTTGTTCCATTGGTTAATTGTTCTAACTGTCAGGAAGTTTCTCTTTAGTTCTAGGTTGCTTCTCTCTTTGGTTAGTTTTCATCCGTTGCTTCTTGTCCTGCCTTCAGGCACTTTGAAAATAGCTTGACTCCCTCTTCTTTGTGGCAGCCCCTGAGATATTGGAACACTGCTATCATGTCCGCCCTCGTCCTTCTCTTCATTAAACTAGACATACCCAATTCCAGCAACCATTCCTTATATGTTTTAGCCTCCAGTCCCCTAATCTTTGTTGCTCTTCTCAAATGCTTTGCATTTTTCTAAGTGGTAGCCTGCACAGTACTTGCATTGCTTAAGCCTCTAATTAGAAGCAGCCTAACATACTGCAATCTGAACTCTAGATAAATATTTCTCATTGTATATCAGTGATAACAAGTATATACTGTACATTACAGTAATACTTTTTAAAAGTGCCTAAATATCCCATATATACTTTTGTATAAGCCCATAAGTTGTCTCATATTCAGTTATATTTGATTTTATAATGGAATTTGAAAAAAATATAAATTATTCCTTATACTATTGCCAAATCTGAAAATATTTTACTAGCTTTAAGAGAAACAAAATCACTGTCTTATTAATTTATAGTCATTTTTATTGGAGACTTTAGGAGAAGGAAGTGAACCAACCAATTACTTGGTGTGTATATAAACATGTATACTTTTTTAATGCTTTTCCTTTTATTAAGTTGTAGTGTGTATAAGACTAAACATTCTTCTGAAGGGCATTTATTCCCTTGCAGTAACATAAAATTGCTAGACCAGTGTAGGAGAGACTTACACAAAACTTTCCAATTCTGGAGCTTACCTGAAGCTTTTTCTTTCAGCGAGCTAGCATTGATCCTAGAAATTGCAGCCTAATGCAATTGATAAAATAACTGTAAATTGTACTACTAATACTTGGCCAGAACATGCATCCAACTGGCTGCGTTCTGATCCAACTGAAATTTATCAACTGTCCTTAAAAGCAGCTCTGTATAAAATCCTTTGCAATATCTAATCTGTATGACATCAGTGCATGACTTGCAGACCGTAATTCTAAGTTTTTCACAAAGAGGCAAAGGTGATTAGACACAGATAATACTTAGACACCTTAAACCAGCATCTCCAACCTTTCTGGCTTTGCAGTCCAGCAGAGGGAAGACAAGAGGGAACGGTTCAGTGTGAGCAGCTGGCGAGTGCCTACGCAGCACCATTTGCACAAGCAGCTGGCAAATGGAGCTGTGCACATGCTCACCCACGTGCAAGTGGAGCTTGCATGCGCATGCTTGCACGCCACTTCTCTGACCTGGTTCCGAATGGGCAGCAAACCGATAGTGGGCTGTGGCCAGGGGTTGGGGGGCCCCTACTTAGACAACTTGATATCTAGCGGAACTGGTAGCTGTGACATTGGTTCTTCAATTGTAATTCCTTCCAAGCCTGTTGTTACCAATCCAGAGCATTTCATTTGGGCCAAATATTAGCATATATGTATCCACGAAACTGTTTAAAAATTCTACATCTCCCCGTGGTGAAAAGTAAAGATATAGCAGAAGGCTGATTAATTGTGTGTCATCAAGTCCCAGGTAGAATGATCTGCATACTAACAATAATAAATTAAATATGTCTCTTGTCTAATTCATGCTAAAGAACTAAAGTTTCTTTAGCTGGTTAGCTTGCAAATAACATTAATTTTTTTTTTCCCTTCATCTAGACCAGTGTTCCTGTGACATTCATCGATTCTAAGAAAGGAAATGAAACGTCAAGTGATCGAAGCCAAGATCCTGGCTCTCATTGATCCTTTTGTGAATCAGAAGGAATTTTCCCAAAGACATTGCTAATTCTAAAGAAAATTTGGTAGATTAACAGAACATACATTTTCTCAAAGAAAATGCTGTATCCCCACCTGCAACAAATATAATTACAATACTTTGTTTCTGTCACATTAAAATTGTTCTTTGAAATTATTTTTAGGCATAGGGATGGTTTTTTTCCCATGCTGGATTTTGTTTTACTTTTATCTACAGTCATTTATTGAGCTACTCTTTTTTTGAATGAAGGATCATTCATCAATATTTTTACAAAAGTCATTTAGAATTTCATTGTCTATCTAACTATAACTTTATGATGTATAAAGCTAATAATACACAAAGAGTACATTCCAAGTACAAGCCTAGAGTGTTTTTAAAAATATAGAAGCTCTAGTTCTAAATGCCACAGTAATTCTTCGTTGTAAGTCTGATATTTTATCATGTCAATGTAAATTAAATGCAATATATAATTTAATGCTTATTTAATCTATTTTAAATTAATAATTGGAATTTATTTTTTTAAGTTTCTGTGATAAATGTTCAAATGATTTCATAATCAATATCTTATGTCTTGTTTGTTGTAATACTCCCCAAATTTTGTTTCTAGGTACAAATATTGTACCGTATTTTCCGGTGTATAAGACGACTTTCTAAACTCTGAAAATCTTCTCAAAAGTCAGGGGTCGTCTTATACGCAGGAATATACGGGTAGCTGTTCTCTGAATTTAAAACCAATCTGCCCCCTAGTGGCCAGCCCTATTTTTTTTTACAGAAATAAGCACTAACAGGACAAAGCTTTCTAGCAGCAAAGGAGCTCCTATTGTGCTCATCTATAAACAGAAATTCAATATTGTACTGTATTTTCTGATGTATAAGATGACTTTCTAAACCCTGAAAATCTTCTCAAAAGTTGGGGGTCGTCTTATACGCCCAGTCGCCTTATACGCCGGAATATACGGTAAGTTCAGCCTGAAATCTCTAGGGTTTGGGTAGTCAGAGTTGGTTTGGGATAACTCTATGGATGATTGGTTAACCTTTGGGCTTTTTTTCAACATGTCTTAAGTAGTTGGAAGTCAAGAGTATGCAATAGCTTTATAAATTATTTCTGTATTTTATTTCATGAAATATCTTGCTTCTTTAACTCCTGCAAATTATCTTTATTGTGAATAGGAAAAAAAATACAGTAATTGCTGTTTGTTGTTATATTGCTGTAAAACCAGCTACAGATCAAAAAGTATTTCCTTGAATGTTACTATTCTGGTTCTGGCTCCTAAACAGAAATGTACCTGCAATTTCTTCCCTATTGGTATTGTATGACTTTTGAAATATGTACTTCAGTCTTGATTTATATCCTGCTACCTATCATGCAAGTAACATTATTAGTTATCTGCTTTGGTTGAGCTTTTTTATGAAGCTATATGATCTTGTGACTGATGAAGTTATTTCTGGCTCTGATTAAGTCATTTTTGATATGCTTCTTTCAATCATTTGTATGATATGTGTAGTCTGCATGTTTGATTAACTCAACTGCATCTGGCACTTTCTATCATTTTTTAAAGTCAGTCTGTATTTCTACTTAGGACTATAGTATAGATGACATTATTTAGGTACTTATCTATTTTACTTGGGAAAAAGATGTATGTAATAGCATTTGGGTGAATCTTGCTGTAATATATTGATCACTTGCATAGTACATGTTTGCCAGCTGAAATGTTATAGCTGATGCAGTTAAATACAAGTTTGAAAAATATATGAAAAATTGTCACATACTCACATATTCCTAGATAAATAAAACATTTTAAAGAAGTCTTTTATATATCACTAGATATCTTTTGAGTTCCTTAAATTATAACTTAATTGTACATAGCTGTATGATTGCTATACTTTGCTGCACTTTTTTGTACTTGGGTTTAGGAACTCAATGGGCTTGTTTTGGAGTAGATATATATGACATTATTGCACTAAAATTACCTTTAAACATACATTTATAAGAAAAGAATAGATGCATGATCCTTAATAAGTCTATCAGAAATAATATTCTGTTTATGGGGAGGCCGCGAAAAGACATTAACCCTCTCACTTGAATTCCCTAGCTCAGGGGTAGGCAACCCAAAACACTCAAAGAGCCACTTGGACACGTTTCCCACCGAAAACAAAACACTGGGAGCTGCAAAACCCTTTTGATATCTAAAATGAAGATAACACTGCATATATCCTTTTTTACCTTTAATGTGTGTGTGTGTGTTTGTGTGTGTATATATAAAATAAAGATAAAAAAGGATATATGCAGTGTTATCTTCATTTTAGATGTCAAAAGGGTCTCTCTTTCTCTTTCTTTCCTCTCTTTCCTCTTTCTCTCTTTCCTCTCTTTCTTTCCTCTCTTCCTCTTTCCTCTCTCTTCTCTCTCTTTCCTCTTTCTCTCTCTCTCTTTCCCCTCTTTCTCATTCCTCTTTCTTTCCTCTAATTTTCTCTCTTTCTCTTCTCTTCCTTTCCTCTTTCTCTCTCCCTTTCCCTCCAGGTGAAGAGAGAGAGAGCGAAAGGCAGACGGTGCTGAACGGGGAGGGGGAGCAGGACGGGAGGCAGCAGCTCCCAGCCACCCCCCCCCACCATGCCCTCAGCCAAACAGGTGGGGAGGGGGAGGACGGGAGGCAGCAGCTCTGGTGGCGGTGGCGGCAGCTCCAGCAGCGGCCACTGCAGCATGGTTGCAGTCCCCACCGCCCATGGCCCCCACCCCGCCGCATCCTCAGCCACTTTGCTGTTGCAAGAGGAAGGTGCCAAGGCCAGGTGCACCATGGGCGGCCGCGCCGGGAACGGGGAGTGCCGCCGTGGGGACAAGGGGGGTCCTGATCGCTGCCGGCCCCGCTGGCTTCACAAAGTCTCCTGCAGCACCGAGGGCGGTGGTGGCGGCGGCTCCCTGAAAATGGCCGAGTAAGGCGCCACCAATGGGGCTGAGGTGGAGCCGGGCAGTGGAAAGCCCTGCGGCAGCCAGGTGAGCTTTGTGCCTGACTGCCGCCCTGCCAGGCCTGGGGAGACACGTGGCCGGCTCAGCTTTCCAGGGAGTGCTGGCCTCTGGCCCAGCTATGACTGCCACCCGGCCCAGCCTGGGGAGACATGTGGCCGGCTCGGCTTCCCGGGGAGCAATGCCTGCGCCAGCCACTGCCCCAGCCATGACTGCTGCCCGGCCTGAGGAGTCATGTGGCTGGCTTGGCTTCCTGGGGAGCGATGCCCACGCCGGCCGCTGCCCCAGCCATGACTGCCACCCGGCCCGGTCTGGGGAGACATGTGGCCAGCTCGGCTTCCCAGGAAGTGATGTCTGCGCCGGCCGCTGCCCCAGCTATGACTGCCACCCAGCCCGGCCTGGGGAGACATGTGGCCGGCTCGGCTTCCCGGGGAGCAATGCCTGCGCCAGCCACTGCCCCAGCCATGACTGCTGCCCGGCCCGGCCTGGGGAGACATGTGGCCAGCTCGCCTTCCCAGGGAGTGATGTCTGCGCCGGTCGCTGCCCCAGCCATGACTATCGCCCAGCCCAGCCTGGGGAGACATGTGGCCGGTTTGGCTTCCCAGGGTGCGATGCCCCTGCTGGCTGCTGCACCAGCCATGACTGCCGCCCGGCCCAGGGAGACATGTGGCTGGCTTGGCTGCCCAGGGAGCGGCCCGGGGATGGCCCAGGAAGCAATGCCCCAGCCAAGACTGCCTCCTGGAACAAGTAAGCCGGGGGGGTGCCACCTGCCCTGCGGTCGCTTCGCAGCAGTGTTCCATGGACTCAGACCCCCTCCCTCCCCTCGCCACTGACCCTCTGTCTCCGGCTCTGCTGCTGCTTGGCCAACGGTCACACCGGCTGGGCATCAGAGGGGCTGCTCTCCCTCAGGGCCGCGGTTTGTGGAAGGGCTGGCTCGCTCAGTGGAGGCTCGGGCGGGCCGCTCCCAGAGGGGATCTTGGGGCTTCCCCACACGGCTCCCCAGCCACGTGCACCTCAGATGGGGCCAGCCCGGGAAAGGGACTTCCTGGCTGCCCTTATCCCAGGGGATGAGGCACCCGGGCACAGGGCCAATCAGGAGCCCTGCGAGGGGGCAAGCCCATATAAGAGAGAGAGAGAGAGAAAGTGCCTCTCTCGTCTCTCTCTGAAAATGGCGGGGGGAGGCTCCAGAGCCGCAGGGGATGGCTCAAAGACCAGCATGCGGCTCCAGAGCCGCGGGTTACCAACCCGTTCCCTAGCAGTTGGTAGTCAGATCACTTCTACAGGCAATATATAACCAGTATGATCAAGGCTAGTGTCATTCTCTTTGAATATCTGTAGGAGATGACCAATCTGAGCCTGGGGGAGAGGGTCAAGCGTGTTATCAGTCTCAAGGCACTTCGTGCCCACAAGAGATCTACGTCCAGCCTACCTTGAACTCCATTGACTTATTTTCTGCCATTTTGCTTTGAACATTAGTAGTTCAGATTCTTGAAGCGAGCTTTAACATGCAATCAATCAATTTGTTTAAACTGATTTCCTACGTTTGGCAATATCTGCCTTCTTTCATTGTTCCTAGCATGGTAGTCAACATGAGTAAATATGAACTAAGGGAGACTTAATGATTATTCCTAACTATTCAAATATCCCTGCAGATGTTTCTTAATAGCTCATTGAACTATCCATTTTATTTTGGAATTGGACTACATACTATATATTATTTTATTGATAAGGTTGCATGACTAATCATTCAATAAACTATTACTTTTAGGAACCACCCTGGGTGCTAGAGTGAAGGGCTAAAGAGAAGTTCCCTGACGATGGGCTCCAGCATGAGTCAAAAAACTCGGTCCCGGTGACTAACCCAGATTGGATCCTGCAACATTATCCTGGGATACGTACATTCACCTTCACTTGTACTACATTTAGTTTAGGCTTAATTTATTTCATTGGTAGGCAAGATGGTGTTTTCCAGATGTTTTGTACTTGCCTCACACTTTGTCATGCTGGCTGGAGCTGATGGGAATTAAAGGGTATTAGGTTGCGTCACCTGTTTTAATCGTAATTGTAATAAATATTTATGCTAACTCTACATAGGTTCTTTTTTTTTAACTTTGTCTCCAAGAAGAAACAAATGGAAAACAACCCCCGCCCTCACCCTTCACAGCCTTTGATTAAGCAGAGAAGTGACAACAGTATGTGGTATGATGAGCATCATCTCTAGATGTAAAAAATGATCAAGGTGATAACAGATTTTTTTTTCTATTTAGTTTGGGGGGGTTGGGTGACAAGTTTCTACAAGGTCTTCATATAATGATAGTATACCATAGTTTCAGTTCCTATGCAACCCACATTTTCCATAGCTGAGTGGTCTGTCTGTAACTGAGTTGCATTTTATTTTTAAGGACTCAGTTATAATCAATACAACCAGCACAGGCCTTGGGTCCTATTGATTCATTTGGTTTCTTTTTGTCTAGAAATGCAGTTGGAAGCATTGACTGTAATATGAGGGGCCCACATTGTTCTGTTACTTGCTCATAACCAATGTTCAAGGCTTTGTCACAAGTTATTTTAAGCTACCTGATAGCAGTAACATTGCTCACATGCCCCTATCCCAACTTACACAGCCCGCCTCCCCTGGAAAATATTTAAAGTCAGCTGGATCTTGGCTTAGTCTCTTCAAAAAGATAAAGAAGACAAGAAAATACGTACATTTCCTTCTTGTAAGTATTGCTGAGAAAAATTAAGGGGTACTGTCTGCTATTGTTTAGTGAGGGTGGTTTAGTGAGGGGAGAAATGGATTGCTAGAATTTGTTTACTACTGTTGCAATTATTTTTTGCCAAATCTGGAAATTTGGAATTTACATTTCCACCACCCCCCCAACCCCACCCCAAGCCCCCCAAAAAACTAGTGTAGTGGAGCTGTCTTGCTAGTAAGTTCATTTAAGACTGAAGTCTGGGATTCTTTTAATGAATAGAATATATTTTCACAATTAGTAAAAACCAGGACAACTCAACTAGTTTGGTCTAGTGTTTAAAGCACCAGGCTAGAAACCAAGAGAGTATGAATTCTTGTCCTGCCTTAGACATGAAACCTGACTGTGGAAGTTTGGGCTGGTTCCTCTCTTGCAGTCCAACTTTTCTCCCAGGGCTGTTGTGGGGAAAACAAAAGGAGAAAAGAAGATTAGACACTAAAACGAATGAATGTTTACAGGAACTGGGAATGTCTAGTCTAATAAAGAGAAGACTAGGGGATGACATGATAGCAGTCTTCTAATATTTAAGAGGCTATCACAAAAAAGGCATCAACGCACCTGAAGGCAGGACAAGATGTAATGGATGGAAACTTATCAAAGAGAGATCCAGCCTAGAACTAAGGAGAAATTTTCTGACAGAACAATTAACTAGTAAAGCAGCTTGCCTTCAGAAGTTGTGAGTGCTCCATTGGTGGTCTTTAAGATGAGATTAGATAGTCATTTGTCTGGAACAGTATAATGCCTCCTGCTTAAATAAGAGGTTAGACTATAAGACCTCCAAGGTCCCTTCCTTGTTCACCACCTTGAGTTATCTATAAAAATAATAAAGGCAAGATTTTTAAAGTTTCCTCTTTCCACTATTTATTCAAAATGGACAGTGATTAATATATATGTATGTATATATAGGTATAGGTATAGATATAAATATGTATGTGTATAGCATGAGTATATGTATGTTATATATGTTTATGGGTAAATAAACATATATAACATATATAAATTGGGAGCAGGCAACAGAATTTCATTTTAATGTGTGCCAGTGTGCTCACAATAAAAAATTACAAGGCTATGTTACCATATTTTATCTTTTTTTTAAAAAAAAATCTAAAGCAAAATAACAGCAGCTAAAAATACTGATCTTGTAATCCACTGTGAAATCTGCCAAAGAAATGTTGGAAGGCCAAATCCAAGTTTCAGGTAGTTTTTGTGCATCTCTGAAGTAAGAGAAGATGAAAAATCTCCCAAAAATCTTGTGGCTACTACCATTCTGGGAAAACATCCCTCCTGTGATCATAAAAAGTGCCATTGTGTTGTGAAACATTGAATTCTATTCGTAGTCATTGCAACTTTTTCTGAGGAAGAAAAATCAAAGCTATATGCCTTGAATTATATTCCACTGAAATCAATTGAATGCTTGGATTCTCCTATGAAGCTTTTAGACAAACCCATAAAGATACTCCAGTTTCAAGGTTACAAATCCCTGAGTAAGCTTACTGAACAAAATCAAAAGTTTATTGCAGGACAGATTAAGAGGAATGTATTTCTCCTTTCACTTTTATTACGTAGAAAGTTCTTTTATTTTTTCTATAATAGGCAGAATTTTAATCAACAGATAATGTCTAGCTATTTTGAGGAAAAGGTTTTTGTGTATGGAGATGATATTTAATATGCAGGGTTGCTTCCATGATCTTTAGGTCCTTGCATGTTTTTTTCCTTTGGTTGAGTTGTGTTCTGCTAGCCCTATATGGTAAGGGGCTACATTCCTCCCACCAAATTCAGGCTTGCAGGTTGGGGGTGATTTTTGATACAGATGTACCCTCAGAACCACAAGTGTTTTCTATAGCCCAAAGGTTTTTTTCACATTCTTGGAAGATTAGAGCAGCAGGTACAACCCAGAAGTGAAGACAGAAAGAGATTTACTTTTAATTTTATTGATCCATGTGTAAATGAACTGATTGAACTGACCATCGTCATATATTCTGTAGGTTGTTGGGAAAAATAGGTTGCCAAGTATTGTCAGGTGAAAGTAATGTTGATTATGAAAGTAAGGTACACACATATTTGACTGAACAAACCCTGTGCCAAAATTTAACACAGGTAAATAAAGGAAAATAATATGTGGTTATTTCCATGATTTGTGTTTAAGTGCCTCAGGAAACTGGTAATGTAACTCATTTTTGTATTAGGCATAATATTTTTCTCTCTAGCTCCCTTTTTCTGTGACATCAAGATGGCAATTTTTAAGACCAAAGTGCTCGGTGAATCTCAGTGCAATTTCTGACATCTTGGACTTGGTAAAAAAAAAATCTTAATTTGACGCAGTGTCAGTTAGATAAGCTATCTCTGAGGGGAAAGCTATAATAAGAAAGTGATTGGCTTGCCAAGAGGGTTAAAAGATGGACTGAGCTAGAAGTTCAGAGTAACCCAACTGATCATAATGTAACAGACTAAGGCTAGAAAATATGACTCATCAAGACATCAAGAAAGCAGTATGAGCAATGCAGCTCCTTTCTGTGGTACATCTGAAATAAAGGACAAGGAAAAGGTCACTGCTATATTTTGAATGTTATATTTGCTTGCTACAGCCTACCAGCTGACATCATTATTGTCCCAAGGAATTTTTTTCTGTGTGGATTTACTGACAGTATCTCTCATCTAACTTAGAAAAGCGGAGGCAAAGAGCATTGGATCACCTTTTTCCTCCAATGAATCATGGAACATTTGGGATGCAACATGGATGACCATTCAAATAGCATCTGAGTTTATTTGTATTTCTCCCAAACAGGATGGGACACCAAAATTTAAAAACTGGAACCAGAGTGTAGCCATAGTATCTTAACTACAGTTAATACTGTTGATGTTTGGGTATGCTGTTAGCTTCCTATATGTTAATAATGGTCAAAGTTATTTTTTCAGCTCCTTTTTTTGTGCAATTTGGAAAATCTGTAGCATATTAATCATATTTCATACCACGGTGAGAGGAAAAGTGGATACCTCTTTCCTTTGAACTGAATGACATTTTCTAATTTTATTTGGCTCAAACTACTCAAGTGCCCAGAGTCTAGAATAAAAGGAAAGATTTGTTCCATCTCACCTTTGTCACTGATGGTATGCTCAAAAAAATGAAGTAATAAAAGCAAAACAGCAGACAACAGGAGCATTGGGGATAGAAGATGACCGAATATACCAAGCTGTCATGCTGGACTTTATTAAAAGGCTAACCTAATTGGAAAAGCTTGATGGTTTTCAGATGATTAAGTGAATATGGATGTTTAATTAATGATATACAATTGTGCTTTTCAGAAAAAACGTCAAGTTTAGCGTAATAAAAAAATGTCACAACTGTAAAATCTGTACAATATTGGAATAGACTTTTCTATAGAAGTTGTGGCTTCTTCATCTGCAGATAAGAGTCTGGATGGGCATTCCAAGTATGATCCCTAATCTATTTGCTGCAGTTCCTTCATAAATTTGTTGCTGTCCTTGGAATTATTACTAAAAAGAAGGAAAGGAAAGAGTAATGCAACAAAAATAATTTCAAATTGATTCAAACGATAAAGCATTGTCTTAAGCCCATTGCTTTCTTATTCTCAGTTCTATGCACAGCAAGTGCAGCCAAGTTAAATATATTCCCCTCACCTCATCCTTTTATCTCTTTTGCATTCTTCTCCCTTTTGATCCATCTCCAACCTCTTAGACTTTTAATCTCTGACAACAAACATTCAATGAGATAAGAGACTCTTTTGATAGGCGATAATTAAAGCACGTACATTATCATGCTCAGAAATTCTAATATGAAATATTTGGGCCAAGAACCTTTAGCACAAAGATAGACAGCTTATCAGAACTATTACTGAATGACAATTTATTAACCATTTTAAGTCAGATCCAGATCCAGCCCAACTCTTTCTTTGCATATGTATCTGCTTTCCACAGCTGTTCATAGCAACTCCTCTTTTGTGCTGCTATGTTTCTAAGACAGGCAACATTTGCTTTCTAAAGTCTGTGATACCATTCTTAGTTTCTTGTGTGAACAAGCTTTGAATGCCAAGGCTAAACTTTTGTTGTACCACATTGCAAAGCTCAAATTTTCAAAGGGAAGAAATTTACAAATTTCATTTGTGGAATCTGAAAGGATGTGCCTCTGCAATGCATTATTACTACACCCTGCTTTTTTAACAAGTCAGGGAAACCTGGGAGCATGAGAGGGATTTCTTTTTAACTTTGGTTGCTGAGCAACAACACAACTGAGCTAAAACAAAATAGCACAGGGAAATAAGAGAGGAGGCACTGAGCTAAAGAAAGAAAAGAGTCACACTTTAAATATATAGCAGCAGAGAATAAAGCCAAATGTTGTATTAAGGGAGAGCAGTCCTAAGCTGCAACATGAGTACCCTTGCCCTCATTTTGTTATTCTTGAGCTTATTCTTATTTTTATTAAATGCACATGATGAAAAAAATATTTCACTGATATTTGAAGGGAAAGCAAATGCTTTTTCCTTTTCTTAAACTGAAATAAGTATTTCCTTTTCAGAAGGAAAATGCTTTCACAGTAATTTAATTAAAATGGGATACAGCTAGTTATTGCTCAGCATAAGAATAATTCCTAGATGTTTTGAGTAGCTTGATCCTTCTAAAGAAGATCCACTCGGCAAAAGGATAAACTCAGTAGGAAAAAATGCTGTTTAGGTTAAGTATGAAAACCCCACAGTGCTGACAGTAATTGGAGCAACAAAAGAGATAACACCTGATGATTAGGTTGAGAACTCAAGGAGATTCTTATGTCATGAAAGGCGGCTTTGTAGAAGATACTACATTTTGCTCCATGCAATTTATTATTAAAGGCTTACCTGGAAGATCTCTATAGATCCATTTTGGATTGAAGTTGAAGTGCACTACAGAATGGAACAGAGTTTGGGAGTTCTTCTGAGAATTACAGTTTTATTTATCATTGCTTCTGGTTTTGTTGCCAGGAATGGCCAAGAGAGATGTCAATGGGATCCTCCTGCCATAGATGCCAAAATAACCTCGGGTATCATGCTTCTAGAAAGGGAGATTAAACCATTTTAAATTTGTCTCAGATAGCAAATGCACAAGTTTTTCACAGTGGCTCTAAGTTCAAAGTACTAACAATGCTCTGTTCTTGATTATTGTCTTATATGCCTTTTTTTTCTACTATCAAAAAAGTGATAAGGATTTCCCAACCTCCAGTTCTTTTGTGTTCCAGAACACATTCCCACAATTCCCTGGAATGATCATTCCAAGGGGCATAAGGATTGATATATGGGATGGTGGCACCTAGGAAGGAAGGGCTTCTACTGCAAGATGGTGGGCAGAACCTGTCACATGTTTGTAAGATGACCAACTTTTTTACAATGAAAAGGAGGACACAAATAAATTGAAGAAAAAAATATTGTAAATAAAAGAAACATTTTATTCATTGCAACAATAATACAGACAACTTGCATGTGCAAAGTTTGCCAGCCGGGTGTTTTGGCACGCTCAGCAGCAATTCCTCTTGGCTTTCAAAAGCCAATAGTAGGAGTAGCACAGCTCATGCAAAAGTTAAAAAAAAACCATCAAAAAAAGATACTGGAACGCCGTTCTGAGCATTCTATGAGGGAAAAAAAAAGCCCTACAGATTAGTCTTCAAATATCGAAAAGGAGGACATGTAGGAGGACACTTTTTGAGGGAGGACAGAACTTACAAAAGGAGGACTGTCCTCCCAAAAGGAGGATGGTTGGTAACCTTAAGTTTGGTAACTTTCACAATCCTTGAGGATTTTTATCAGCTATCTTTCATCAGCTATTTTTCAGACTTGGCTCTTCATAAAAGGCCATAAATTTGGGAGATTCTTGCATTTGTGATGCATCTCAATTCCCATAATTTAAATTTGTCAACCAAACCAGAGTCAAGGCCTATATTTTTACAGGAACCATCCTAGGCATGCCATAGCTTGACTGAAGCAAAGACAGAGAGAAAATTGTTTTTTTCCATCATCTAATGGTTGTCTGAATGTTTGCAGTGCAGATAGGGTGGTCCCAACTGAGAGTTCAATTATGACACAGCTGGATAGCTCGTGTAGCATCATGTTAAAATGTTTTAGTATAGCACGCTGGAGGACTAATTTCTTCTAATTATGCTTTATGTATTTTTGCATTTAAAGATGACAACTCAAGCCAACTGAAATTTCAAGGATGCCAAATTGGGGAGGTGGAGCCAAATGTGGTGCATGTGACAAAACAGTCTACCATGCTGAGGAAATTCAGTGTAATGGACGGAGTTTTCATAAGACCTGTTTCCTATGCAGTAAGTTCATCTATGTTTCTTCTTTCACCAGATAGTTGTAGATTGTTATTCCTCATTGTGATTCCTGGAACAACAGTTAATATTCTTTATTTCTGCCTACCAAAACAACAGCTAAAAATAATTATTGTATTCAAATGCCATATTCATGAATTAATAAATAATAAATCAATCCTTGGTTCTTATAAAGTTTTCAGAAACCTATTTTATAATGCTTGAGAGAAAATCTTTTATAGAGCCATAACGTCAATCAAGTGGATTAACTCACAGAGCATTAAGTCATAATATTAGCAATAGCAATAGAACTTAGACTTATATACCGCTTCATAGTGCTTGATAGCACTTTCTAAGTGGTTTACAGAGTCAGCATATTGCCCTCAACAATCTGGGTCTTCATTGTACCGACATCAGAAGGATTATGATTTGTTAAATAAGCCATAATAGGTGATCTTGCATAAAACTAACCATAAATCCCTTTATTAACCACTATTTTTAGGACCATACAACAAGCCAGAATTAATTGGCTCAGAGTCATTGATTGAGATGGATATCTACAGAAATTGAATAAAAATAATTAAATAAGCAAATAAAAAGTAAATTTAAAAAAATGAAGCAATATTATGACATAGCATAATGTGTGAATCCAACTGTAGCATAGGAAAGAGACTTCGAGGTCCAATTCTCCACTAATATAGAACATCCATTGCTACCGGTATGATTTCCCAGAAGGTTTGATTAGCAACTCTTTGCTTAAAATTCTCTGGGGGAAAAATGTGTGACATATATTTATTTATTTATTTATTTATTTATTTATTTATTTATGAGACTTATATACCGCTTTAAGTGCAAGCACTCTCTAAGCGGTGTACACCAGTAAGCAATGTATATATATATATATATATATTTACATTGCCCCCAATAATCTGGGTCCTCATTTTACCTATCCCGGAAGGATGGAAGGCTGAGCCAACCTTGAGCCGGTGAGATTTGAACCGCTGACCTGCTGAACACAGTCAGCTAAAGTGGCCTGCAGTACTGCACTCTAACCGCTGCGCCACCTCACCTATATGTGATAGTTAAACCGGCATACTTCCAGATATCTGCTGAAATCTCTGTGTTGTTTATGAATACTGCCATGTTGGATAACATAAAGATTCACTCTGGGAAAAACAAGCTTGTATTCACTACTTCTAGATAGCTAGAAGCTCTACACTGTAACTATCTAAGATCTGGGATGAGTCTTCCAGAGTTTCTCTGAAAATGTACATCAAACACTAATTTTAATATGACAAAAATATTTATTTATTCACTTATATGCTGCCCATCTTGCCTAGAGCTGTCTTGAGGCAGCTTACAAATATTATTAGATGCATGGATATAAACATCTTACAGGTATTTAATTTCAATTTTCAGCACCATTAATATGGTTTTTGTCCCGCTCGTCCTCATTTTAAAGACCAATGCATGTCTTGCCACAAGCAAGATTGTATATTATACTGATAGAAAATAAATGTTCTTTTCATTCATGGGTCTGATAATTAATTAAATGTCTGTATCCATGTTAAGAGTAGGTTTTGACTATTGAAAAATTGATCGGTGTTTTTGGAGACCGCAGGAGTGAAGGAGAATAAGGAAACTGAATAATCAACACTGATATGTGAATCCAGATGTTGCATAAGAAATAAAAATGAGTATCAAATCAATTGGAGAACAGGGCAGAATTGATAAAAGAATAATTTAGCAAGCCTAAGAAGGGCTAACGGTAGGGGAGCAGAACCTGTACTGTATTCTTTCCAATCTTTCTTGAAAAGTGGGCATTTTCTTTAATGTTCAGCACAACTTCTCCTTTCATACAATTGAAATTGACATCCTAGTGGCAACAACAAGGAATAATGGTTTTAAAGTACAAGAGAGTTGATTTATGATGAAACATTAGGAAATGCTTCCTGTCTCTTAAGTCCCTGATCAGTAATTGATTTTCTCAAAAAAAAATGGTTTATCTATTGTTCACACCCAATGGATGACTGGAGATCTGATTTCTTTCCTTAATATCTTCTCCTCTGAGTTGACAACTGAAAGCTACAGTAGAAAGCATCCCTTTCTCTCTGTTTACAAGAAATGAGAAAATAAGTTTTTTATACAATGGTTTTTAATGTGCAACATTAGGCTTTATTGTAGAGCGTTTTAGACTGCAGCTGCATGCTAATTACCTGGGAGTTAATTTCTTATTAAACTTAATAAATCACATTTCTGTATAAAAGGCATCAATGTTGTTGCTGCTTGGTTGGTTGCATTATATGTTTACATTAATTCCTGTAGCAAATGTTTGTGAGCTAGTTTGTTCTTTAAATCGTTATATGATTTTGTGGTGTTCACACAGCTTGATGTATAATTAGTAGGAAAGTCATATAAATAATAAATTGCCTTTAGTCATTAATTTTGTGGAACAATGCTGGCAGAAAACACAGCCTCTCCTGTGTGGGGGGAAAAAAATCCACCCCTTATGATGTGACTTGCTGTCATTAACACCTCTGATTTGTCCAAGTCAGTTCTGACTTAAAGGGCATCTGTGGTGGCTGTATGGCTCAATCACAATTTGTCAACTTCAACCTACTTTCTGACACATGAGTCTTCTCAGCCAGCAAGGCTTTGGGGCCATCTGTTGCAGCACAGACCCTCTATTCCAAAGAGACCAGAAATAGAAGCACTTTATCTGCTGCTGGAGCCATCCTTTAACAATTCACAGAGCAAACATCATTATCTTTTCTTCCCAGATGAGAATGCAAAATAGTCAAGGAGGAAATTCACAAAATCACAGTACATTATTTCTTTAGAGGACTCAATTTTATCTGTTCCTATTTACTTCAATAATCAACTTTTATTTGCACTGGATGTTACAAAATTTATTTGTAACATCTGCCTTTCTGTCTTTAGGATAAGTATGAAACCTTTGCAATGGCCTTTGTTAATTTCGTAAGCAAATAATGTTTATAGTCATATAGCTAGCAATATTATTGCAATATAGTCAGAATAAATCTTATTTTTGATGCATGGGGGTAGTGGCGGAATTAAGAAAAGCATTACTTCCTGTGATCCAGACATAGCCTGTGAATATACATTGCCAAAATACAAATAAAGCTTAATTTGCATTAGACTTCAAAGGATCTATAAGTATTCAAAGCACTTCACATAATCTTAGGGAACTTTGTAATGGTGTTTTATAAGGTCGGCATTCTTTGTGACCACTTCAAAGCTGGGTAGAAAAACATGGTTTGTGGCTGGAGAGGGATATGAAAGAGAAGCTGTCCAATGCATAATCTTCATTATAATACCACATTTCCTCAAAATGCATTTTCACTGGGGAAATGTTCTCAAATATTGTGATATAAACTTAATTTGCCTGAGCTTTGTAGAAAATCTGGGACCAGTGGGCACCCAGATTTGGTTTCCTTTGGAGAAAAGTATCACTAGAGATTTATTAGCATTTCTGTAATGCTACTTTAGTTATAAATTTATGTGCAGCTAGGCATGGCTTAAAGTTGCAACAGAGGCCTTAAGAATTTCTGAACTCAAAGATTGCTGTCCTTGTCGCCATCAATAAATGCAAACTTTTATTCTGCCTTTGTATGTTACCCTTCTTGTGGGATTTGATGGTGAGGAAAACAGACACTTGTTTTCCATCCTAGTTTTCTGGACCCATGACTACTTCTCATTTCTCTAACACAGCGGTTCTCAACCTATGGGTCGCGACCCCATTTGGGGTTGATCGACCATTTTTCGGGGGTCGCCAAAGAAGGCGATCCGCCATTTTCTCCCCTCAGGGGGCGCGGCCGCGCATGCGCGCCGCGCATGGGGGGGCGCCGTGTATGCATGCCGCGCATGGGGGCGGTGCCCCCATGCGCACAGCACCATGCATGCGCAGAACGTTTGTGTGACGGGGGTCGCCGTCACACAAACGTTGAGAACCACTGCTCTAACAGTAGATGCAACTAGTTTCTATTGGCTTTAATTATTAGGAAACTTTTAGTATTCTCATTTTCAAACAACCTACAAGGCAGAACAGTAAAATGCAGGTGCCTCTGTTTGCAGTTCAGGACCATAATGTGTGTTTTCATCTTTCTTTCTCAGTGGGTTGCCGAAAAGCTCTGGACAGCACAACAGTAGCGGCTCATGAATCTGAAATCTATTGCAAAACATGTTATGGGAGGAAATATGGTCCCAAAGGGATTGGCTATGGGCAAGGCGCCGGTTGTCTCAGCACGGACACAGGAGATCATCTGGGGCTGGATCTACAGCAGCAGTGAGTGAAATTCTGGGTTGTTTTATAATTATAATTGTGGTTGCATCCAGTCATGTCGCTCAGTTTCCATAACTACATGCTAGAGAAATAGTTTTCTGGATGTTTTTCTTTAATTGATACAATCTATTTTCCTAAAACCATTTTAACGAGACGTAGTCCTTCAGGAGTATTACATTACAACGATTACATATTCTATTGGGCAATTGTGCTACCGCACAGAAAGAATGCTTCTTTTACATGGCACCAGGAAATGAAGTCTTATTGACATACATTATAAATTTTGTAAAAAAAAAATAAGTAGAATCTAAATGTTAGCTCTCTGGAGGCCAAGCTCTCCTGACCCCTAGGAGCTCTGCATGGTATCACACAGCTGAATATTGCATTAATGGTAATTACACAATGAATGGAATATTATTATTATTTATTTATTTGATTACTACCCACCTTTACTTTGTATAAATCAAATTTAAATTTGAATTAAATAAGCCCTCTCTTTAAATTTTCCCCACAATAAATTTCCCCGATTTCTTTGTCCTGTCAGATTATTCTGAACTTTCCCTCATTCTTATAGCAGCCCCAGTACAATTTGCTAATAACTTTCCCTCTAGGGTACAGTGACCCTATTAATTATAAATTACAATCCTTTACTACCAGAAGCCCTTCTTTATATTTAGTTATTTTTCAAAAACTAACTTTTGTCCTTTCTTTCAGTCATTTAACTTTTACAATACAAATGGTGCCCCTTGACACTCAGTCTTTAATGGAGTTCTTGGGTGTGTCTAACAGTGTAACGGCAAGCATTATTGTGAATCGACACCACATCGGAAATCAACATGCCCTGATGCTTGTTATGGATGGTTCATCTGAGTTTTCATAACATTTCACAATAGACTTCTGAACTGATGGTCAAACCATGCTCCATGAACTTCACTAGCAGTACTCCTTTGACATCTCCACATTTGGCAGGATTTTCTATGGCACCACTTCTGGTGTGGTGTTGGTTCATGATAATGCTCGCCTGCACACCATTAGACGCACCCAAGAACTTTTGAAGCAGTTCCATTGGGATGTTTTTGATTACCCCCCCCCCATAGCCCAGATCTGGCGCTGAGCAACAACTACTAAGGGATTTCAAAGCTTGTAAGACATTATGACAAGTGTCTTAATTTGAATGGTGATTATGTTGAAAAGTAATGTAATGTTGTAGTTTTCTAATGTGTATAATAAAAGTTCTGTATCTGCGAGTGTCTGTCACTGATAACCACACAGAGGTTTATTTCCAAATTGTCCTCGTATCTTAATATGGGACTCCTTTGGTGCCTACTCCTTCATTGGAAAAACTTACAACCCACAAAGCAATGTGCATTTATAGATGTAATCCATACATTCTATTGTTTCTTTGTTAAATTCTTTTGTTTTCCAGGATCTTTTTACTGCTTAGTTTGGTATTATTCCTGGCAGTAAAGCTAATACACACTACAAATTCTACATCACACATCAACCATTTACATCTTGAATGTCTCATTAAAGAGAATATTTGTAGCTCAGGGTTGAAATGAAGGTCCTTGGTGCTCTCTGAGCTTGGCTGTTTTTTTGCAGATATTTCATTACCCAAACTAGTTAATATAATTGCTAGCAAGCTAACAACCATGTTCAGAGAGTACCAAGGATCCCTCACCTTGAATGTCTGTTTAAAGAAAATGATTTTTACCAGTTTGTGGGAACTTAATATGGGAAGCACTTGTAAGGGCAAGGCATTCCAGAGCATAGGGTCCAATATGTTTTTGGCCCATGATTCTTTTTATTTACAAAGGGATATGAGAGGGATCAGGAATATTTAGCAAGCAGGGCAGTTCTTCTTAAAGAATTGGTCTTTACTTTTAACAACCTTGGTTCTTTTCATGTATATATGTGTGCTGTCTAAATACAAATTCTAAGAGATCAATTGGAGTAGTCCAGTCAGAAAAACCTTCCCAACTGTAACTGGATTGGGGAAAGAACTGGCACAGTGGGGATGGAATAAAGACGAGACAACAGAATTCAAATATGGAACCTCTGGCAATAATTTCTTGCACTGGATTCTGTTTAGGAGATCAGGTTAATCTAAAATCATCTGCTCCAAAAACATTTGTGCAAGGATATTCAGATTTCTATATTGCATTTTTTAAAAGTCTAAGCAATGATACCAATGGGAGACAATATATGTAGCTCAGGGTTGAGCTAAGCTCAGAGAATAGTTCTTAACTCAGAGAACATCAAGGACTCAAAGCAATAAAAAATGCAAAAGACAAGGAGATTGAAGGCTATCTCAGGAAAGGAATTTAGGACAATATTTGATGGGTGGAATGGGGTTGGAAAAGGCTTAAAAAGATTTCCATGTACTACAACAGTGTATTGTTCCTCCTGCTGTCTAGCCTTGACACAGACTAAACACTGTGAATTACACAACTATTGAATTACAATAAATAGACAAAGCTGTGGATGTTTATCACTACTTTTTATCAAAATGGCAAATCTGAAGGTTTAATTGTTGTTTCTTTTGTAATCTGCAATAACCATAATACTACATGGTACTGTGACATTATCCTTATTATAGTTTCTCTCTTTTATTTCACCAGGTACCTTTGATGTCTCTAACTCCTTTATATTTTATCTGTGTTAAACCTGTAACTATGGTTCATTGACAGAACCTACAAAAATCTGTATTAGAATACATTTATTATTCTTCAAAACAGCACACTCTTTGTGATTTTGTTGTCCGTGCCGTTCTAGCCATTAAGAATTGTTACTTTTATATTTCTATTACTCTTCATGCTTTTCAGGATTTCTCAGAGGAATAGATCTTCCTCTTTTACTTCATGCTGAGCATGAACAAACTGAAGATTCTGCTATGAACTATGGTCAGCATGAAATCAGCAATTTTGTTTTAAATAAATTCTTCAGAATGTAATTTTCGTGTTACGTTGCTGATATTGATTGGCTCTATTAAAAGTATAAATCTTCCCTCCCTCCCTCTCTCTCTCTCATTTGATACATTGTTAGGTCAGATATTCCTAAAATTAGTTGATCTCCGAGACAAAAAAGTTAATACATGCTAAACTTTCTTGCCACCAGCTCACCAAAGCCAGGTCGTCCTTCTACCCCTACCAACCCTTCAAAATTTGCCAAAAAGTTTGGAGATGTAGAAAAATGTCCTCGTTGTGGAAAGTCAGTGTATGCTGCAGAGAAGATAATAGGAGGAGGAAAGGTAAGAAATCTATGAAATATATTATCACAATAACAGACACTATTAAAACACTTTAGCTGAAAGCTATCACAACCCAAGAATAATTAACAAAGAGTTAATTGCTTCATATTCTCACATGTACATTAGATACCAGATTAATATTCCAAGCCTATACAACTAAAGGGAAGCCATAAATTGATATGTCAAGGATTATGCTGCCGAAAGACACATCTGTTTTATTTATTCCACATTTTAAAATGACAGATTTTGCAATTGATAGTCCAGTTCTGATCTGTATGAGGCAACAATAATTATTATTACTATGATTTTCATGTCTATTCAGCATAAATGTACTGTCTGAAGTCCAGATTAGCTTGTGAAAGGTAATTTAAGGCCAGATAATCTTTCTCTTAATCTATCGATAGACTGCCAAATATAAACCTTGTGCAAATACCTTATGTGAGTTATTTTTTTTTTTTTTTTTTGTCTTCGGTTTCAGCCTTGGCACAAGACCTGCTTCCGATGTGCTATTTGTGGAAAAAGTCTAGAATCTACAAATGTTACAGACAAAGATGGAGAGATTTATTGTAAAGGCAAGTGTTGTATGTATGTTGTATTAACATGCAGACTTAGGCTATACATGTTGGATTTAGACCCAAAAAGATTTTCAAAGTATCAAATAAAACTTGATTCTTTCAAAGATCATGGTGAAGGATAGATCCACACATCAGTGACAGATTCATCATTTTCATCCCAAATTCAATGGAGGGCAAGTCTGGTGAAGTGATTAAGACATCAGGCTAGAAACTGAAGGACCGTGAGTTCTAGTTCTGTCTTAGGCTCAAAGCCAATTGCATGACCTTGGGGCATTCACTACTCTCAGCCCAGGAAGGAGGCAAGAACCCTTCCAAATTCTTGCCAAGAAAACTGAAGGGACTAGTCACCAGGAATCAATACTGACTTGAAGACAAAAACAAATGAACAAAAAACCTAATTTTTAATTTCACGGTTTTTGCTTGTAACAAAAAAATTTGGAAAAAATGCTAATTGTTTGAAATTATATTCAAATTTTCAAAGAATTTTACTGCCCTAAAAAAAAAAACTATGAGTAAAAACAGCAGATACATATCCAACCTCTCCCTCATTAATTTTTTGATCTTTTTTTCCCATCTCAGTACTGTACCTTTCTCCATGCTCCTTAAGCAATGTAATGTTTCCAGTATTAGTTTGATCCTCATTATGAATTGAAAAAGGGCAGTGCCTTGTTTATGGCTTACTTTGTTGTGTGAATCCAACCAAATCTGGTCTGATCAAGAAATAATGGTGAAGCAAATCACAGTTTGATATGATGTATCACAGCAGACAAGCCTTTGTTCATGCTAGTAATCATGCTAGCAAAAAATGAAATAATGATCACGTTGTAGTCAACCCATGAAGCTCCATGTGTGATAAACATTTGCTTTGTTGAAGTTGTTTTTTTAAAGTAAACCTATAAAAATTCAGGTAGAAGCAAGATAGAGTTCCTCAAGGCTGCTGTCTTCCTGTGGTCATCTACAATACATTTTTGTAGAGCAGACTGGTGGCCCTGTCTGCATGTAAAATGTTGTACTAAGTTATGACTGCTTTAAATTGTTGCACTTTTAATATAAATAACAAGAAATAATAAAGTCTAAACCAGTACCTAGTCAAGTAGGGAAGTGACTAAATGGAAACAAGGGGTAAATAAAGGAGCAATGTGGAGTTATTTGGGTTATATGTATTATTTCAACATGGTACTGTTCCCAAAGCTTTATAGAAAAGTTGGATTTATGAAAGATTAGATAGTATTTTATGTTGACATGCTTATGAGAATAGCTAAATCTATCATTCCTTTGTTTTACAGTTTGCTACGCAAAGAATTTTGGCCCTAAAGGAATTGGATTTGGTGGCCTTACTCAAGTTGAGAAGGTGGAATAAAATGCCATGCTAAGATCTCATTTAGGTCTATCTAAATAAGTAACAATGAAAGGTTTAATTTCTTACACAGTGGTTATAACGTTGTGGGAAATCATTTTTGAAAAACAGCATTTCATTCCTGAGCAAGAGAACTCCAGAACATTAAGATGTGGACTATTCATAAATAATTTTTGAATCAAAATTCTGGTTATTTTATCAAGATAATCGCACAGACAATCCTGACACTGTTATTTTTAGAGTTGTGCTAATTAAGCAAAACTCAATTCCTATTCTTTATCAAACATCAAATGAAACATCAACCAAATGAAGATAGAACATGAAATATAGGCAAGTCTACCAGCAAGTATAATCTCTATATTATTTTTTAATTTTAATCCTCTCAAAACTTTGTTGTCTTTTTTGGGAAAAGCTGATTGGTTATTCCATCTTTAAGCATATTTTACTGAAGACCAGCACTACTTATAAATGTGCTGTACTGCATAAAAGATAGAAGTGTAATTAAATTGTGAGCACTAAAACAAATATTTCATTCATCATTTCTCAAATTACTTTAACACAGTACTCTTATTGTAATTTCACTTAAACTTTGCACTCAATCAAAAATACAGTTGTAATCTGCATTTATCTGAGATAACTTTTATTCTGTTTCACTCTGGCATGAACTTCAGGATGCACTAGACCTGCACTGCATGTCAAATTTACCAAAAAACTTGTTGTGCAATAGTCACACATATCAGAAAGCTTCATAGTCAAGCTTATTTTATCTGTTTTTACATGCATTAGGTCAACTCAAAAAAAGTATGACTTTACTGCATGTATTGTTCAGTGTCAGTTATATTTTCCTTTAAATATTTAAAGCCAGTAATACATTAAAGTTTTAACTGAAATGTGAGCATAAATATGTCAAATCTAAACAGGCTTAATGTAGGTTAGAGCTACGCAGTGCTTTCGATACAATTTCCAAAAGGTGCTTCAAAGACCATGAGATTGCCAACATAGTACCTGATTGCAATACTTTATAAAGCAGCCACATTTTTTCCTATGGTTGATCACAAGCCACTTTGAGGGATTTGATCTAAGCACTGCATAGCTATACATCAACAGAGAAGTATAATAACTTGCTACGAATTATAAATTAGGTTTCCTATAATAGCATATTTTGATATTTCAAACCACCTTTATTTTCTTTACCGAGTGTAAATTTTGGGGGCTGAAAATAAATGAATCGTAGATAGATTTTCTTGCTTTATTTAAAAATAATCTTTTCTGCAAGCTGAGGAAGTTTAGCATTTCACAACTGTATTTGTTCCAAATCCAAGTATTTAAAGGTATTATACATGAGCCATGGCTGCCATTGCATTTCCAGTTTGCTTCAGTTTAACCATGTAAACTTTATTTTTTTTTCTGAAATAGCAATCAGACCCATAGCAAATAACAAAATAATTCGTAATATACTTTACAATATTCTAAATATCTCTTTTGAAAACATCCAGTAAATTCCATGCAGTCAATTGCAGATTTTCACCTTCACACTGGATGAATGTGTCGATCTTTTGCCAAATTAAATATTAAAGTGTACTGCTTAGTCCAATCAATCATGTTGGGCTTGAGAATCCCAAAGCATCTACACTGAAAGAAGTCTGCAATGTTCTGGAAGAATCCAAGACTAAAAAAGAAAGAAAAGTCACTTCATATTATATAAAAAAGAACATTTTATGCTGGCAGTATATCAATATCATGGAAGTATCCAAGAACTATTGATAAGTTTACAAATGAATTGCTTTCAAGCAAGTAAGGTGCTTGTTAGAATTTGTATACTAATGTATACTTGTCATTCCCCATTGTTTGGATCAGTGGCACACTTGGAATTTGAGGCTTGGTGATTTCCTAACAGAATGCCATGACAAAAAGTGAATTTCCTATTTACAATATTTTACAGAACACTTTTTTCAATAAGCAGTTTTGTGAAATTATGAAACAAAGTAGAAATAGGTTTTGAGTTCCAAAGCATTGAAAATGCTTTTTTTTTTTTTTTTAAAGAGAGATACCTTTCTATTCTGACACTGAACTCACAGAATTTCTAAACTTTGTATCTCTTGGTCCTCTGGAAGGCAGCCCCTCCCTCCTGGGAATCTGTGTGATATTAGTCTGGAAAGATGTGATATTCCATCACATTCCTCCCAAATCTGCATTTTGATTGAAAACAGAACATGTGACATGTAACAGAGTGACTAGGGTTCCATGCATTAAGGAAGTGTATGCACACCAATTATCTTTTTACGACTGAATAATTTGTTAATTCTGTAAGATATTGCCTCATTCTCCTCTACATACACAGAATATCTTAAACTCAGTCTGAAAACAATTGCCCTGAGCATGTTATTATTGATGTGTAAGATATACAACAGCTTTTTATTGGGTTTAATGGTGGTGGTTGCATATTTTAAAGCAGTTTATTTTTTTAAGCAAACCAACTTTAACAACTATGATTACTTCAAGCAAAAACGGTTATTGAATGGGATGCTTTTACTGATACTTTCCAAAATGACTTACTTATATGGAGTCTTCCTAAGTGAAATAGGATGTTTGGAATATTTACTCTGCTTCCGGAGTGTAGTCCTTTCATGTGAAGTCAATCCGAGAAATGCAATCTGAAAATGAAAGCGTTAAAAAGGAAAAGACTACTTGAATGCCAATTAATATATTAATAATATATTGACAAAATAAAATGTCAAAAGTACTTGATACAATTTTTTTCCCTTTTTAAATAAGCAAAAGAACAATGCACTGATAAAGGAAAAAACAGAGGAACAACACTAATAAATCAGCCTGTTAATAAAAGTCAAAAATATAAATAATTTGAAGTCTATATCTGAAAGACTATATAATGCAATTCATTCTTCAGTGACAATGCACTGCAATTGTATTGGGACAAGAACTTTCTCTAAGCTAGGCTCTAATTCAAAATCCAAAATAAGCTGATAGAAATGGCTTTCGGGGTATTTTCATGTCCTGATATTTATTTACACATACGCACAAACATATATAGCCACACAGACATGGACACATGTTTAAATGTATATATAAATAAATGTGTGTGTGTGTGTGTATAAACCTTGCATTATTTATTTCTCTTTATCCTAATGACAAATTATTCCATTAAATCATTAATAACTTGGTAGCAAAATTAATGCATTTGTTTTGTTTTCAACTTTGGTTTTTAGAAAAAACCCACTGGTTACCAAAATTTATGTTTATCTATTAGTTCTTGGCAGAGTAAATATATATCGTACATATGAAATTACTTTGAGAATTGACTTTAATGATCAGTTTTGTGCAAAAAGACATTCTTTTTGTTTTTTTGTTTTTAAAAGAAAGAAATTACATAGTGGGTGAATTCTTGACAATTGTATCTCAGTAGAATACAATAGTCATAGGTCTACTATGCCAGCTGGGAATTCTGGGAGTTGAAGTGCACATATCTTGAAGTTGCTGAAGTTGAAAAATACTGGCATAGTTCTATGTAAATTCTATGCAAAAAACCAACACAGGTAGAATTCTACTGTCAAGGAAAATTCATACTATTCTGCTATTTCTGTATTGTTTTACCTTCTATAATAAAATATATGAGGGGTGGGGGAGAAAGAAAGCAGCCTAATTGTTTTACATTGTGATATATGTAAAAGCTACAGAAGCTTTTCTCAATATATACTTGTTGACTAAAAACAAGCAGATAGATGAATATCCTGGATAGCCAAAGTACCACTCTCCATTGGCCGCAGAACAAATAAAGAAGGCAGCATAATGTTCCTAGTCAGGTAATCCCAGAGGTCTTAGAACAGTGATGGCGAATCTATGGCACGCGTGCCAGAGGCGGCACAGTCCCCTCCTCACCATCAGCCCCCCTGGAGGAGAGTCGTCCCCGGGCGTGGCCCGCACAGAGCAGTTCAGCCAAGGACATAGCCGGGCAGCAGGGACAAAACTCCACCCTCACACTTCATAGCGTGCAGATGCTGCTGCGGGGTGCAGCTGGAGGGCGTGGCTGCCATGGCGCTGCAGGGCTGCCTGGGCGATCTGCAACGGGCCATGTCCCTGCAGGCAGGCGGGCAGGGCGGGAGGCGGAGCGGGGGCAGTTTTTGGGCACTCAGTCTCTAAAAGGTTCGCCATCACTGTCTTGGAAGTTTTAACATAGAAAAATTAGACATAGCTGCCCAACAAAGCAGTTTTCATTTGTGAGTTAAATGCTATACAGGACAGGATAAATTCTTCATATCATATTTTTGGAAGCTTGATCACAAGATAGATACAGATAGATGAAATTCCTTCATGAGGACATGCTTTTCTCAGGAGCAAATCTTTGCCACATATTAGAATTAAACCGACAGTTGAACCATACAACATTAATTTATCTATAGCAGAAAAATCCTAAATCTAGAAACGGTGCTGTTAGGAACAAGCAATCATTTCAAGAGGGTATTTTGTAAAGTTTCCCCTCTGAGGATAAACTGTGCCAAACTGATATATTAAGGAAGAATATTATTCCCTTTTTTGTTTTACCTACACACAAACAAAACTAAGATCATTAAGAAATATAATGGACATGGCTATGGTTGATCAGAAAGACTTGGCCACTTTGTGGAAGACATCCCTAGTAAAATCCTAAATAGCAAATGGAAAACATATTCTCTCATTTACAGTCAGACCTATTTAGTAGACTAAACTAAGAAACCAATTTACATATAGGGCAGGACTACTCTTATTGTAACTATACTAACCAAATCTTTTAATCTGAATGCTCTTCCTCCAGCCCTACTTTATTTTTTCAAATGAGTTTCTTGGAACAGTTCAAGTTCCGCCTATTTATTGTTTTGGAAGCAATTTTTCTTCCTGTTTTTTAAGCCCAATCCATGTGACCTCTTCATTTATTGATGCAATCCTGACCATTACCAATTCATCGGCATCATGATTAAATATGCACAAAATTAGTAATTCTGAAATATTAATTAAAAGTGATACAGTACAGGCTATTGAGTAAATAACACTCAATGCCATGATTTAAAGAAATATACATAAAAAGTGTACCTGGTAAATCTGAAGGATTAGCCATAACACAGCCCATGAAGTGTGAAAAATTGTGAGTGTGAAAATATATAACACCCAAGGAGAACAAGATACGATCTGTGTGAAAGACATCCAAGCTCCATCTTTCTGATAAGTTGTTGTACAACGTTCTGACCAATCTAAGAGAAATTATTTTAAGTTTAAATAAAATATTACTTTAAAAAAACCCATGGTGAACTGTGTTTTTACTTACAAGGTTTCTATCCTTTTTTTGACTAATTAAATAATCCCCAAATGGATTATTTATACTATCCATAAGTACTACATGTGTATTGATATATTTAACTACCAGGAAGACTAGCTTACTCTAATAATAAATATGAGCAGCAATCATACGATCAAAGAACTATTTGTAGCAAAAATTCTCTGAAATGCAAACCACATTAACTAGAGATAA